TTTTTTTTTTTTTTTTTTTTTCATTCAAGATCGGCTTTGAAATGGTCAGATCAAGATTTGTTTCGATGATCTTTGGGTCTTGTTGGGTTGAGGCCTCCGACTTGAAGAAGCACACGTTTGCTCTGCTTCCTCTTCGGTTGGACGCTACTCTCATTCATCCAGACAGATGAACAGTTTCTGGTCACACAAGGCCAATATCGGACACCCCGAATCATCTTGTCCCGAGTCTCGGCATGACAGGGGCCTCGCCTTTTGGCCATTTGTGGACTGAAATTGTGCACACTTGGCAGATGGAAGAATCATTTCCGAGGGGATAAGGCCTAGGTATAAACAAGACCGGTGAGCACGCTCGGTAGTATGGTCTGAAAGAATGGAGTTGCCTGGTGATGCTCTTGTCATTGCGGTTGGGGTTAAATCAATGTCGTCAAACTCGGCAACCCTTGAGCCTGCAAATTATTTTCGGGTTGTTGTTCGGCACTTGTCGCAGCCAATATGGGGCTCACGCTAGGAAAGAAGACCACTGTACGCATCCCACAGAAAATGCCTCCTCTGAATGCGCTTTGATGCAGGTACAAGCTCTATTTCTTGTAAGCACTAACAGCAGCATACATTCACCAACAACGCCACTGCCTCTGCAAATCCCACTACAGGCAACCCAGCTGACGCACTTCTTCTCTGCGTTATGCTTTTCGGATTTGCTGCTTACCAAAGGAACGAACTGAAGGATACTAGTATCCGGCCCTTCTGCATGTTTCCCTGGACACCTACTTCCATGACTGGTTTTAATCGCAAACGCGGAATACCTAGCACTTGGAAATCACCCAACCCACCCCGCCATTCCACCCCCAGCGCAAGCTGAGACAAGAACTCAACAACGTGAACTGACTGACCACTTACCATACATACTCCATCACTCAGAGCAAGGCTCACACAACATTTCCTCCTTCACAGTCCACCAAAATGTCCGAAATAGACCCCTTGGTCCTCGCCTACTCCCACCTCCACCACCTTCCCCAGCCCTCCTCCGCCCTCCACCTCCTCAAAAAGATCGCCTCCCTCGTGAAACCGCTTATGCGCGCCCGCGGCTGGCGCGTCCGCGAGCTGGGCGAGTTCTACCCGGAGCAAGACAACCTCCTGGGACTGAACATCAACCGCGGCGCCAAGATCCTTCTCCGTCTTCGCTACCCCTCCGACAAGTCCCTATTCCTGCCCATCGAGCAGGTCGCAGACACGATGCTGCACGAGCTAGCACATATCGTTCACGGCCCGCACGACGGCAAGTTCCATGCGCTGTGGAATCAGCTGAGGGATGAACATGAGGGTTTGGCGATGAAGGGCTATACAGGGGAGGGGTTCTTATCAGAGGGACGACGGCTGGGGGGTGCTTCTTCTAACAGAGGACAGATTCCGATGCATGAAGCAAGACGGTTGGCGAGGGAGCAGGCCGAAAAGAGAAAGGTGCAAACAACACCAAGTGCCGGGTCGGGACAGAGGCTGGGAGGTACGAGGCCTAGGCCGGGTGAGGATATAAGGAGGGTGATTGTTGATGCGGTGGAGAGGAGGAACAAGACTTTAAAGGGCTGTGGAGTGAAGGATACGGGCGACGAAGGGCTGGCTGAGCAGGAAATTCGCAGGATTGAGGAGCAGGCGACTAGGAATGGCTTTCGCTCCAAGGCAGAGGAGGATGAGGCGAACGAGGCGGCGATTGCGCAGGCGCTGTGGGAACTGGTGCAGGAGGATGAGAAGAAGAAGTTTGGAAGTGGTTATGTGGAGCCGAGTAGGGAGTTTCCGGCAGGGAGTCAGGGGGGTTTCCTACAGAATAAAGAGAAGGGCGGGGGGTTGGCAACGTCGTCTTCGTCTGCAAAACCACCGCCGATCCCTTACCATACTAAACCAACAACTAGGCCTACTGTCTCTTCTTCTTCTCCTCCAGCACCCCTCCCAGCAGAACCATTCAACGAACCATCGACAGGCTGGGTCTGCAATATCTGCACCCTCCACAACCCCGACACATTCCTCTGTTGCGACGCCTGCGGTACCGAACGCCCACCTCAAGCTTCCACCACCGCTGCCCCTGATCCCAGAAAGCAGACCCCAGGCACCAAATCCAATTCTAGTTCTAGATCCGCTGGAAAGCGTCCAAGCAGCTCGGTGGTCGACCTGACCAAATCCCCGCCCTGCATTCGTACACGGCCGTCATTAAGCTCTCATGGGTCTAGGTCACATTCAAACTCCCGAACGGTTTCAGGATCAGGACCGAGCAAAGACAAAGACAAAGCAAAATCCATCCTCCAAGCTCAAGCCGAAGCCGAAGCCGCTCGCCGTAAATTGCTCCACGAGACGTGGCAGTGCTCGTTTTGCGGACAGAGGATGGAGAAGCAGTGGTGGACTTGCTCTACGTGCGGGAAGATGAAGGATAGTTCCAAATGACTAATGATGGGTAGGTATGGTAGGGTATGGGCAACGATGTCATGATTATTGATATGCATTTGACGGCTGAGTAATGGATCAAAATAGAACAGCGCAAGATAAGTTGGGAGGCTTCGTTCTCGATATGATACCCGGGTTATTGGACTTTGCTTGAGATGATGGATTTACTGTTTAACAGTACAAGATATTTTCACCAAGGCAGCACTTACATAATGCCATCCTTGATTCTCATGTTCCTTTCCTGTTAAGTGCATCATATCAATATATTATTCTCCTCCACCTAACGACTTACAGAAACCATTTCACCATAACAGCCGCGCAAACACCGTTCCCCCGACCACCAACACCAGCTCCAAGACAAGTCTAGTTGACTTACCACCAGCAGCAACAGAATCAACATCACCTTCCAGATCGTAAACCTGTTCGACTCTCCTCTTTAGCACACTTATACCTCCCAAGACTAAAAAGAAAAGGATACACATACACTGATCCTCAAATTTCCTCCACAGACTTGGCTCTCGTCCCCGTCACAGGGCAAGTTGCACTCGGCATCGGCGACTTTGGAGGAGAGAGAGAAGAGTTGAGAGGCGCACCAACATTCTCTGTATTGGTGTGAAAGGGGGGACATGATTGGTTAACTTTCTCTCTTCCTTCTTTCCTTTTCAAACACTATTTATTCTCTCCCCTCTTTTTCTCTCTTTATTTCTTTTTTTTTTTTTTTTTTTTTTTGGTCTCAAAACGCTCGCGTTTTCCTTTTCCTACCTACCCCAAGTAGAAGGATTGCGAAAAAGAGAGAAAGAAAATATGGAAACACTCACCTCGAATACTCCAACCCAGCAAACCGATACCCTTTATTTTCCATCCCACCCTTACAAAACCCTAAACATTTCTCCACCGTCATCACCCCCGGCAACACCTCATTGATCCCGCCATACAGCGCCCTAGTTCCACTACCACCTGTTCCCGAGAGGGCGGCGGTGGTCTCATTGTAACAACCAATGTATTTGTAGCCGTCTGTTCCGGCTGCTATCGTCGCTGTAGTAGTGAGCAGCAGTGTTGTTGTAGTTTTCGTGGGTGGTGAGCTCAAAGGTGAACTTGTTTCCCCTGCTGCTGTTGCTGCTGCTGCTGCTGGGTTGACTGTTGCAAAAAGGATAAGGGATACGACGAGAGAGATGAACAAGTTGATATTGTTGATGATGAAACAAGTGGTGCGGCGGTGGCGGCGGCGAAGTACGTGGCGACTTGATGATGAAGCCGACGAAACGGAACAAGACAGCAGCGGCATGGTGGCTTGCAGATAGATAGATGGAAGTGTAACACCGAGAGACTACTGCTGCATCTGATGAAGCGCAAACAGATCAGTGGTGGTGCAAGTGTGTGGAAGATGGAGCTGATGATGATGTCAACAAATTCAATTGCGCGCGACGCGTCAAGATCCTTGACAAGAAGTCAATAACATAAATTGGAAAGTGAACAAGTCAACGTTGTTTCCAGTCATTCACCGCGTGAATAAAGAAAGAAAGAAAGAAAGGGGAAAGTCAGTCAAGGGGAGTTAGTTCCCCTTCCTAAGCCATCCATCTAGGATAGGGTCCCAACAACCATTCAGCCACAAATCTCCGAGATCTATCCAATCGCTGCTGCTGCTGTAATGACCACCCAAGATAACAACAGTGGGAATATGGAAGCTAAGTCTCTATAGGGCTGAACATTCAAATGACCGACGGGATTCTTCCACGTTAAGAGATAAAGGTGTAGAAGCTGAGAGCTGAAGACAGGGGGGGAGGGTCCAATCATCACAAGCTTTCATACCACCTGCGTTGCTTCAACGTGCAAGCTGACTGCAACGCTGACGCATAATCTGCTCCTATCCCTGCGTAGCATTCGTATTATCTGATAAGCTTCCTTCCATGAGCTTTCTCGGGCCATTCGGACTTTTCCCCTTACTGCTTCAGATCCTAAATACCCCCCTCACACCTGACTTTGACTACTTGGGGATTTAAACTAATGAGCTCCCGTCATCCTCAAATTCCTACGGAGAATATACAGAGATGAGCATATACTATACGTCGATGATGGATGAACAAGAAATCAACAAGTTCAAGGGGCCCAAGAGGTCTGAATTCAGTGAATCTTTATCTCTGCCTTCAAACTCCAACCATCATGCCGTGTGCCCATCCATTTAGAAGTAGCAAATGATCTGGAAGGCATGTGTTTACTTTGCGTAGATCACATGGCCAAATTAGTGTTCACGTAGAATCCGATTCTTGCAGCAAGGCTCCGCTAGCATGTAAGAAAAGCTCACCGCGCGTAACACTATAGTCACGAACCCTCGAATATTAATTAGTTTGTTCTTCATTTGAGTTTAGCATCAAAGACCGGCAGGCAGTACGAAATAGTAGCTCCCCCAAGGTTTCAAAAAGAAGGCACGTCGCTCGCACGATATTCGCTTGTATCGTTCTTTTCATCGTTGGCCCATTGAACTCCGTAAAAGCCCAAGTCGTGGTATGTCCATTAGCCGACTCAAACTGACTCGGAGAGTATGCTCCCTCATCCCAAGTCGAGTGCGATGCTCAACAAAGAACTCGAGCTCGCACGGTCAAGCCCGACGCTCACACTCTTCGCAGGCGATCAACCAGAGCTCTTCAAAGGTGTCGGGCTTGGAAATTTCCGTGCCCTCTGGGTCTCGGTAGAGTCTGAAGACGCGTATCAGCGCCGACCCAAGAAAACATGGTCCTTTTCATCGATCTCAACCATTGACCGGTCTTTCGAAGTACTCGAGCGGCCAACAACGAAACAATACGTCCATATCATCTTCACCCCTTCGTGCCCATCCTCCTCTCCCACAAGTTCTTACCACCTGCTGGTGCACCCAAGGTACGGGTAGTTGGACCTATCCCTCCCCGCTTCCTCCGTCATACTCTCCTTTAACAAATATTAGTCAACCTTCCACCCGGCATACGGAGTAAACTATTCTTAAATTTCCAATATCCAAAGTCGTAGCGATGGCAAGCCGGCTGGAACTACTAGCCCCAAGACTAGCCCCATTCGAGCATACGAGCCCGAACTTCGCCTCGCGCTTCCAAATAATTTGTGAGAAGGTCCCACTAGAAAAGCATATCGGCTGTGTACTTGTGATATGCGAGGACATGATCGGTGATCGTGCTGTGGGTGATGGTGATTGGCTCGTTCCGGTACTTGAGTAAGAGGCTGGGAACGTTGTGGTGGCCAACATGAAGCTCATGAAACCCACCTCCTTCTTCGTCCTTCATCACCTGCAGTCTGCAAAGCTAACTGGGGTCTTCAGGAGCGGCTTGAGTTCATCGGCCTCCGGTATGGTGTAGGCCAGACCATCGACAATCCACGATTCTTGTAACTGAGATCACTTTCGCAACCAAGCTCAGACGAATTCCCAGTCGGAGAAGGTGAGCCCTGGAGACGCAGGTCGGGCAAGAATAGTACGGCACCACTCGCAGATTCCGCAATAGATAGGAGTAGGATCTGACACGGCGGCATTTGTCGCCGCCTGTCCTTGTGAATAACGAATAGGAGGAAGTCGCATGAAGTCATCAAGTAGCCCGTTTTGCAGCTGCGTGATTCGACGCCGCTGCTCACTCGCTTCTCCCGTTCTGCCCAGGGCTGCCACATAGCTCTCACTCGCTTTTTTCAGAGCGAGGAGATCGGGGATCTGCACGGGATAATCCTTGGGCGGTGTTGGACAAGATCGTTGGGGGCTGCGTTCTTTGAGAAGCCGTTCTCGGTACTTCTCGTAGGTATTGAGGTTACCGTCGAAGAGAGTGGTGTCCGACCCCGTGAAGCGTAGATGAGCAGTGGGATCAAAGTTCGGCATGCGGTAATAGATCGCTTGCTCAAAACCTAAAGAATCGGGCACTGGCAATTTTCCAGTAGAAGGCTTTTCCAAGCCGCGAACATAATTGATGAGCTCGTCCGCATCCTTCAACCTTTGCACGTGCCTCGCAAACTCTGTGTCGAAGCACCTAAAACACTCCTCAACTTGGATGGCATCTTCATTCGTCTTCGTTGACCACGTTAACCGTTTCACCATGTGGAGACGCGATCGAAAGGCGAAGCAACCCTTGGCGTGCATAAAACAGCCAGAGCACAATGGTATGTCACGGACACAGGTGCCATCGAAAATAATCATCAGCATCTCTCTTCTCCCGTTCTCGGCACCCTTGGTCAAGCGAGACAGTGTTCGCACAGGGAGGGCGTCCAGAGAACCGCATTTGACGCACTTAACCTTGAGGGGCTCGGACTTGGGTTGGTGGGCTGAGGATGGTTTTTCTGGAGGCAGGCTAGGTGGTGGTGCCAAGGGGGTCTCTTGTGAGGAGGTTTTCTCTGAGGAGGGTCCCGCCATGATGGGCACAGAAGGTTCCATGATTGCTGTCACAAACAGTTAGCATTCCCACCATAGACAAGTAGAGGTGGCGCCAAAGGGTAAGGGAGAGACTGTGACACTCGAATGCAATTGTTCTCGAGCTTTGCGGCTTGAACAGCTGAGGAAGTGAGGGGATGAACTGAGGAGAACTGACCTAGAGGATAATACCGCAATAATGATTAGCGTATAACAGAACGAAGAAACAATAAAGAGAAAAATATTTGACGCAGTGACGAGGCCAGAAACTGATATGGGTTGTAAGATGGAACACGTAGGAAGACAGCGGAGTAGACCAGGAACAGGGAGAATAGGGAAATATAGTAAGTAGTTAATGGATGTGAACTCTGGCAAAGGACTGATTGCGTGAGAACGAGAGGGGTGCAGTATTCCTTCCCCTCTGCTTGATTGTTTCTTGCCGCGTGGCGGAGATGGAAAAAAAATTAGAAAATTGCAAAGAGTAGCAACAAGCGAGAGAGAAACAACCTACCTCCTGTGGTAAAGCAGGCAGGAAGTTCTTGAGATAGCAGCGAGCACCCATCAATTGAGCTCTGTGGCACCAAACTCTTAACCCTATTCTTTCCTCGCAAGGCTGAACGGTTGGGTAGATTATTCATAACGTAAGTCATGAGACAATGAACCGTAGAAACTCGGGGAACCACTCCAGTTCGAAGCATTGAAGGCCTCCGAAATCCGAAGCATACCGTAGAAATTCGCCAAACTGACAATAGTTAATCTACTCTTTCAGCGCCGGGCAGGGCATAACGCGGCGCTCTCTAAGCCAGCATATGTAAGTATAAGTATCTATCCTGTTAGTAAAATCTCGAGGACGTCGCCCACCACTATAACTTGTTGCGTGCGTTGCAAAACACAGAATCGGACTTGCCCTGCACAGATATGCCTCCTTCTCGGCGCTGAAAGAGGAGATTAACTATTGCCAATTTCTCGAGTTTCTACGGTAGCAGAAGGACTCGTCAAACTTGGTTGGGTAGGTGCGAGATGTGATGGAACTAAGCACTCGGAGCAGCATAACACTGCAGAGCGGGTTGACTTCGAACAGAAGATAACACTGACTCTGCCTGGAAGCCGTATAGCAACCAAATCCCGATTGGACGAGTTCATGCGGTTATGCTTTTTGACAACTGCCAGACCAATCCGACCAACATAGCCTTACGTTTTCTGCATTATGCGAGATCCCGATTTTGCGAGTATCTGCAGGTGAGTATTTCCAATTTACCACGTGGAAGTGAAAAGAAGGTACAGTCGCTATCTCTCGCACCAGTTATTGCTGTCTGATCAGACTGTCAGACGCTTGGGAGTAGAAGTTGTCGACGCAAGAAGATGTCACGGTGAGCATACGCATAAAACGGATTGAAGAAGAAGGGAAGGAGGACAAAGGGAAGGTGAACAGAGCAAGTGAACAGAAGAAGGCAAAGAGGTGAGACGGTAAAGAGACAACATGGTGAAGAAGCCAACGCCATTCCAAAGGTCAGGGGGAGGGGGCACTTGCCGGCTTGGATGAGAATAGAAGCCATGATGCTGAGTGCCATCTGGAGTGCTGTCCATCGATCTTGACTTGGCCCTTGCCAAGGCAGGTGGTACGTAGGGGTATGCATAGATGGTAGGCAGCCTCAAGTCACGGTACTCGGGCCTGGATTTATGTGCGCTTCGAGGTCGTTACTGCCTCGACGTTCAGACATTGTCCCTGTTGGGACCGAGGGTTCGGTCGATCGGGACGGGAGTTAAAACTGCTGGATCAGATTTATGCCACCAGGTAGGTGTATAGTACACACAGGCATTTCTTCTTGCCGCAGCCTCGACTTTAAACCCAGAAAATTGATCCCGGATTGTGCCCGTCGACGGCGACCAGGTCGATTCCACTGACATTGGGCGCAGGTGCATTTTGTCGATTTTGTGAGGAATGAATGTCCATGGACACCTTATTTGAGCGTGGGATTCTGAGGTGGGAAGTTCAGGGTCATGGTAAAACAACAGGCAAGTCTGCTGCCTAGTATTGGCGGTGCACCTCTTTACTTGCTCGTTTGGTGTCAACTGTTCAGCCAAGAGCGGCCACTGGTTTTCCAGGTTGCCATATCTTTCTCACTGCTATACTGCTTGGTCGCTCTTTGTTCCCCGCTGACCTCCCCAGCTTCCAACCAACTTCATTGCCTTCTCTCCACCTCCCTCTAACCTCTCATCCTTCAATGCACCCGCAAGGCATTTCCAAGGGTCCTTGCTACCTCCCCACTTGAGCAGGTTTTCCTTCAACCTCTCTCCGTTTTCTCTTTGCAGTGCTGCTCCGCCTTGTCCACTGTTGAATACGACATTCCATACTCTCTGAGCCAAGACCCGGTCAAAGAGGTAACTGTAATATGTGCTGCCGTATCCGACCAAGTGGCCGAAAAAGCCCTGCCATGCCGTTCCTTGGGGGTCAGGCGGGGCGGTGCTGTACTGTCTCTGAAGGCTGTGGAAGATTTCGGTGGAGTCAATGTGGCCTTGCAACGCCTTGGACGAGTGCAATTCCTGATCGAGCATGGCAAGGATGATTTGATTTTCAGTATCCAGTGCCTCGAAGCGACGGGCCTCGCGGATCTTGTTGTCGACCCACTCATAGGGAAGGGGGTTGTCAGTCTCGTAGTGGCGTGCGAATAGGGCGAGAACAGACGGGTCAGCAGCAAAGTATTCCATCAAAGTAGAAGGAAGCTCGGCGAGATCAGTGGCGCATCGGGTACCACTAACGTTCTGGAAGGAGGTTCGGGCCAGGATGGAGTGAATCGCGTGACCCATCTCGTGGAAAAGCGTTTCAAGCTGAAAGAAAGACAGAAGAGCGGGCCGGTTGTGGGATTGCTGGGGAAAGTCACACACAAGAGCAATGGTGGGGAGTTGCTTGATAGCACCATCCTGGGAGCGAGAGTAGGCCATGCCATCATTGGCAGCAAACTCGGCAGACTCGAAGGAGGGAATCAAAACATGTGGGTTTTCGGTTTGGGTATGGGCAGTTTCAGCAATCTCGTGGGGTGACAGCTCACGAGAGCAGCGGAGAGTAAAGTGGGCTGGGTTGGGCGACTTGAGGGGGCGGTAAAATAGGTCGCAGTATAGGACGGCGACATGGCCTTCAACATCCGAGACAACATCTAGCCGACGCACGTCAGGGTGCCAGGTCTCACCGGGCATGGGCTCGCGGGGGACGAAGCGAATACCGTAGAGGCGAGTGAATATCCTGGAAAGGCCTTGCATAACGGTGCCGAGGGAGAAGTAAGAGGACAGGTCTTCACGCTTCTGCCGGGACTTGATGGCCTGACGGATGGACTCGGCGTAAAAGTCCTTGTCCCAGGGCTCGAGGGTTGCATCGTCACCCTTGTGCGCCCTCTTGGCTGCTGTGAGATCAGCCACCTCCTGTTGAGCTTGAGGTCTGGTGTTTTCGGACAGAGCTTGGAGAAACTGTCTCACAGACTCGGGGGTGCTGGCCATCATACGGTCATGGAGGACGAGGTGGCCATAACTCTCGAAGCCCGAAAGCTTGGCCGACTCACCACGCAACAACATGAGCTCCTCCAAGGTATGGACCGTCCTGCGGGAAGCGGTGCGAGAAGCCATGAATAGTTGGTGTCGGGCGTGGTCATCGCGTACAGTACGGAGTGCTATTGAGGCCTGGGGACTCAGAGTTTGGACGTACACTTTGCCCATGGAAGCCATCCTCTTGACCTCGACGGGATCCATGCCCATCATCCGGGACTTTTCAACAGTGGTGTATGGGATCTTGGGTTCCATGTGCTGGATAAAGTTGGTTCCAGTCTGGCTAATTGCCGACGACAGGTGGACAAACTTGTCCCGAGCGTCCTTGGGAAAGTGAACGGCGGACTTGGCGAAGTCGAGCTTGAGGACCTCGGCCACCATCCTCTCCTCCTCAGACCAGGTGGTGCTAACATGTGGGTTGTCCATTGCCTTGACCAACTGGTCGTACAAGCCCGTCATGGTGTTGAGCTGGTTCATGTACTCGTACATCATGTCCCAGGCCATCGAGGCGGTCCTCTGGATTTGCTGGTCAGGATGGGTGACGCGCACAAAGTCGGCCATGTCCAAGACGCGACACAGGATATCGCTTAGGCGATCGAGATGGCGGACAATGGCGCGGTATTCGTCGAGAGACTGGGCGTTGAGGACCTTGTCGACCAGGGCACGAGCCTTTCCCAAGCTCACCTGGGCAAAGTCGAGGAAGCCATGGGGGCTGGTGAGGTATGCGTTGCGGAAGAGGCCGACGTTTCGGCCATGCTTGTCGCCAGAGAACTGCTTCCATGTTTCGGGCGAGTCGAAGATGGATCGTAGAAGAGAGTCATCGTGTTTTGTGTCGGCGTTCTTGTGGGTGACGGGGATGGCGCCCGTCAAGGTCTTGGGAGCATGCGCAGTAAAGCCTGTGAATCGTCGTCGTTGCTGTCTAAGCAGAGGAGAGAGAGTGCGTCGGAGAAGGCAGTCGGAGCAGACCCACAGCCGGGGCCTACTGGCTTTAATCACAGGTTGTATCATGGTGTCGAGATGCCGACTGGGTTCGGAACTTGGGCGAGGAGGAGGATTACTAGATTATGTACCGTCGCTGGGTCAGGTCGGTATCGGGTTGTGGATGGCGGGGTGACCACAACTACCAGTGTGTCGTCTATGAGGCGAGCATGTGCCGCGATTGTTTTGTTGTAAATGCTAGAGCAGATCTAAAGGTCGGAATGGGGTGGTGGTACAATTGGTGACATGAAAGAGCAGGTAAGATAATCAAGAGAGCAGAAAAAGCACGATGAGATGGGATTGAATCAATGCCAACGAAGTTCCCGTTGGCGTGTGGAAAGAAAACCAAATAGGTAGAAAAGTCAAAAGTCAGGCAACTGAAGCTCGCCAGGTGCCCTTTCAGCGGTTATCGGTACGTACTCCCGTCTCCATCAATACTCCAATTGACCGAACGGCCCGTATTGTAGTGTACCGCTGTAAAGGTAGCCGGTAGTAGTGTAGAGGTACATACCTCTACGCTACCTACGTAACGGTCCCCTCACCCCGCCAAGAGACGATCCTCCCCAGTTGGTCCCCTCCGCTGCGGGAGCCACCCCACCCCACCACGCCCACAAGCCGCGACCGCAGCGACCAGGGGCAGAAAAAGCAGGAAACAAAACGTCCCGAGTTCCCGGATTTTACCGTAACAATACATACGGGTTCCGCAAGCTGTACTAACTAACCCTGACAAGCTTGAATTGAATCGAATTGGACTTTTTGCGCCTGGACTTTGTATGGACTCTTGGACTGGCTTGCCCGTGCAGTGGACAATCCGACCGACGATTGATTGATTATCCTCCAAACTGCCCTCATCCCAAGCTCTTTTCGCCAGCTCTACCTACCCACCTTTCCCCCCCCCCCCCCCTCCCTCCCTCCCTCCCCCCTCGTCGACTCCATCACCCTCGACGCCGTCTTTCTTCCCTAGGTCAAATTGGGTTGGACAATGGCTGCCAGACTTGCTTTCCAACGGGTGAGCCGACCTCTCTTTTTATTCCTCTATGCGATTTCAAGGTCTCTCTGCATCATCACGTGTGCTGCGTCATAAGGTAAACATGGACATGGGATACAGATGAAGGCTGACTGACTTCTTGACTTTGATCACAACAGCGCGCCGCCCGGGCTACCGCCGCCGCCCTCGTCGGCTCCTTTGCCCTTGTTCCCACCGTCGCCTTCGCCGAAGCCTCCGAGAGCCGTGCCTCTGTACGTTGAAGTTCAGCCCGATGCCGTCCTCCATATGCGCGCTCGCTAACCCACGTCATGTCTCTGCCGAAACAGGCCAAAAAGCCCATCTACGACGATGACTTCGATGTTGTGCCCTCCACCCCTTCCTTCACCTCCGCCGAGACCACAAAAGACGTCAGCTCTCCTGCCGCTGCCACCCTAAACGCTCCCGTCACCACCAAGTCTTCGACCAGGTCCGGCGAGAGGACTTTCACTGATAGCCTCATTGACGTGCTCGCCAGCACCAACACCCCCCGCGGCCCTACCCCTACCGACCGTCTGGCCGCCCAGATCCGCCGTGCCCGCCTGTTCCTCTACAAACAAGCCTGCGTCGCCGAGGACGCCGTCAACGCCGGCATGTCTCGCGCCTTTGACCTCGAGCACTCTTTCACCTCCACCGTTGCCGGCCTTGCCCCTCCCCGTGAGAGCGGCGAGCGCCTCATGCCAGGCCTCATCTACGTTCTCGTCTCGGGTATGGCCGGTAGCATCGTTGCGCGCAACCGCAACGTTGTCCTCCGCGGCGCTACCCCTCTCGCCTTCGGTCTCGGCGCCGCTTGGGTCGTCCTCCCTGTCACCATGAACAACGTCAGCTCGCTGGTGTGGAAGTACGAGCAAAAGTTCCCCGCCGTGGCGGACGCGCACATTAGGACCCGCGAGGGTATCGAGAAGGGTATCTACATGGCCAAGGTGCACGCCGAGATTGCGCAGCACAAGGTCGATGAGGCGGTTACCAGCGTGAGGGAGACGGTTGAAGGATGGGTTCGCAAGGGCAAATAAATCATCGCAGCATTGTCACTTATAGAGAAATCGGAACTAGGGAAAGTGGATGATGGTTATGAAAAAAAAGAGTATCAAGAGCGGGCACAGGCACGTGGGGCTGTGACCTGTGTGTTTGTGTGTGTGTATATATGTACACATGTTAGGAATAGCTGGGCGATTCCAAGTGAAAGCGGAAAATAGAGATCGTGTTAAGTTTCAGGCGCGAGGGGAGCTCCTCTGCCATGTATATTGTACGATATCACATCATGCTCACTTTTTGCTACCATTGATGTTTGTTTTGTTAGCGTCACTCAGGGGCTGTCTCACAGGCTTGGCACGTGTTCCGCTTTGGGAAATTATCAGGCAGCTCCTGCATGTCAGCAGCTAAAGGATAACTTTGACTCGGGTCTTCTCTTCATCATCTCATCACCATCTCGACAATCAACCTCAAGAGAGTTTTCAGGGTCCGGCCTACGACAAGCTCATCAAAGTCTTACTTTCGGTTTCTAGACAATCAATCTCTATCCGGTCCAGAATCCTGCAACAACCGAATCAGCCGTGTCTAGTGGCTCAAATCGGCAACTATACAAACGACCTCCATTTCGTCTGCCTAAGATAAGGTGTTATAACATACCTATGGTCGTAACTTCGTCAAAAAGTCCTCATTCATCGCTCTTTCGCCCGATCAGCAGCTATCCGATTCTCAAAATCTGTCTTTCTGTTCTCTTTTCGTTTCATCGGGCCATCTCACTCAGCTCGACACAAATGAAGTAAACAGCCGACTCACCGACCACATCAACTCCCCAACCAAAGTGGTTACACTACACCATAACCATCACAATACGCCATCACCATCACCATCATCATGGCTCCCCTAGCCAGCGAACCCCGCCAAGTCCGAGTGATTCTCGACCTCCCCAAGCGCAAGGCACTCTACACACTTGTCGTCGAAACGACAGATTGGATGCAATCCCAGCTCATTCTCAAAAACCCCAATCAGAACCCCAACCAGACCAGCACCTCCCGGCAACAATCCAGATCCTCAGGTCCATCTCTCCTCAACAACTTGGATAACGACGACACCGGACAAACTGGCCCTCCTCTACCCAGCCGACCAAACGCCGGTCCGCGCTCCAACTCCAATTTCAGTGGCAGTGACAAAATCGGCCCCCTCCGCGCCGCCGCCCTATCCCACTTCGACACCTGGCGCTCCTCGCTGCTACATTCCCTCAAAGACCTCCTCAGCCCCGCCGATTCTACGCAAGAAATCGACGCCCGGCGACAGCGCTCCGATCGGCTGGCCAAACAAAGACTGGAGTCCCCGGCGCCTGGTGAGAACTTGATTGATTTCGGCGACTTACTCGGTCCGGTAGCCGTGGAGGACGGCCAAGCCAAGGCTCTCAGGCAGCGACAGAGGGAGGTGGCGGCCTTGCAAAGCAGGTACCATGCGATTCCGACGAGGTTGTCGGCTGTAAGTCAGGAGGATAGGGAGGAAGTGGTGGTTTGCCTTTTGTTGATGTTGCTGTCAAGTGGCAAGTATACAGCAGAGTCAAGGACGTTCTTGGTTTATCTGTGCTCCGCCTTGGAGTTGCCGCTTTCTTTCCTGAACTCCCAAGAAGCAGAGGTAGCTACCAGCCTGGTCGAATCCTCGACAAGTCCGGAGGCACGGGAACAACAAATGTCAGCAGCCAAAGAGGCAGAAGAACGGAAGAAAGCCAATCAAGTGGGCCGATTCTGGAAAGTTGGCCTGGCTTCCGTTGCAGGAGCAGCCATCATCGGTGTCACGGGCGGCCTTGCCGCACCGGCCGTGGCGGGGGTTATTGGCGGGTTGATGGGTAGTGTCGGCTTGGGAGGCGTGGCTAGTTTCCTGGGAGTGTTTTGGATGAACGGTGCGCTGGTGGGAACGCTTTTCGGTGCTCTGGGCGCACAAATGACAGGAGAGATAGTGGATCAGTATGCGCGCGAAGTCGAGGACTTTGCGTTTCTGCCGTTGTCTGGAGGTACGAACCAGGAGAGGTTGAGGCTAACGATTGGTATCAACGGATGGTTAACCGAGTCACTTTCTTCGTTGACTGCTCCCTGGTTGGCGCTGGACCCGAGCTCGTCGAACCTGTTTGCGCTGCGGTATGAGGTTGCGGCGATGCTGAATCTGGGCAATGCCATGAAGGCAATGGTCACGAGCGCGGCGTGGACATATGTCAAGGTCGAGCTGCTGAAGCGCACGGTGCTGGCGACGTTGTGGTCAGCTTTATGGCCGATTTCGCTGCTTTCGATGGCATCTGCGCTGGACAACCCTTTCTCTCTGGCGAAGAATCGGTCGGAGAAAGCGGGCAAGATTCTGGCGGATGCGCTAATTAACAGAGTGCAGGGTGAACGACCGGTGACGTTGATCGGGTATTCTCTGGGTGCAAGGGTTATTTACTCATGCTTGCGCACGCTAGCGGAGCGGAGGGCATTCGGACTTGTTGATGAGGTCATCCTCATTGGTGCACCGGTGCCGAGCGATAGGGATGCGTGGGAGACGATGAGGAGCGTAGTCAGTGGTAAGCTGTGGAATGTGTGCTCGAGTAATGATTATCTCCTGGGCTTTATTTACCGGACCAGTTCCATTCAATTGGGCGTGGCGGGACTGCAGGAGATCAAGAGTATTGAGGGCGTTGAGAATCTCGATTTGACGGGCACGGTCAAGGGACATATGCGTTATCCGGACATCTTGGGTAAAATTCTAGAGAAGTGTGGTGTTGAGATCAAGGAAGGATTTGGAGGCGAGATTGAAGCTGAGCAGGATCTCACGAGAGAGGAAGAAATCATTCTGGCAGATATGGAGGCCCAAGGAAAGCTTCCCGCGCTTGTCACGAAAAAAGGCAACCAGGAGGGCGGATTGGTTGACTTTGGGGAAGACGAGCATCAGTCGCATCATGATCCGCCGCCCAAGTACGCAGTGATGGATCCATATGCCTCTTCCTCGAGGCCATCGATGGAGCAGCAACAGGAACAAACGCCACCGCTACCACCGAGACCCCAACCCCAACGGACTACCATGGCCAAACCTACCTCGTCACTCCAAGCCAGCAGCAACAACCCTCTAGGCTATTCTAGTCCATCATCATCATCCAAACCCGTGGATGACGATCTCTCCAGGCAGTTCCTCTCTGGCCCACCCTCAACATCCACATCCTTTGCGCTCTCCGATCTAGCATCTCTGTCACTCTCTCCTCAACAATCTACCTCTACTACCAATGCGGCCGCCGCTACCCGCTCCCAGTCATCACAGCCCAACCCCCGTCTCCTCCTCCTCCCTTCAGACCAACAACAAAAACCGCTCGGGCGATCCACCACCACATCAACCGGTTCCGATTTCTCTACCGTCCGCGATGTGCCAGCGATCCATCGCAGCAACACTGCCCCCATTAAGCAAGATATTCCGCGGAATATCCCCCTTGTCAGCAGTAGCAGGCCGTCGCCACCTGTGCAGTCCAAGTCTGAGCCAGTAAAGAATAGAATTGGGGAGGATGATAGTAGTGATGATGACACTGGGCGATATGGAATTAAGATGGTTGATAATGATGATAGCGAAGGGGAGTTGGGGTTTGTGGAGCCGATTCCCATGGAGGAGGAGGGGAGTGGTCACAGTGGTCACAGTGGGCATGGAGGTAGGAGGTAAAACGAAAGGAGAGGAAGCGTCTTTGCGTGGGGTGGGTTGAAAGCAATGTTTGTGGTTTTTTCCAAGGGTCCGACCGTTCAATAGTCAAGTTAGATTGAGTGATGGAGGGTCCCGCCTTGTCGTAGAGAAACCTGGCCCGGGAGTGATGTATTTATATTGAGGGGAAAAAAAAAGGATCAGCGGGAAAAGGGATTGGCGAAAAGGAGTGAAGAGAAAGATAGAAGGAACGATGGCAGGTCTATACTAGTACACACTTTCATAGATTAGTACATACCTAGTAATGGTATTCAACTAAAGCTCATCGGCATCATACCACTGTCATTTTGAAACAGCGTTTGATATCAAGTGACATTCAGATCAGCCACGAGAGTGGTGAGCATAATCACAACCTCGCTGTCAAGTTAATGTGTTGGGACTCTACCGAGACCTGTTTGGAGTTTTGACTATCGATTTACTGATGTTGACCGTTGGCTCTTCGCCAACTTCCTTGCAACCGTGGACTGAGCTAACACCACAATATACCTCCCGTTTTCAAGAATACACCTTTTATTTCTTGGGATGTCACTTTCCATTCGTTTCCAGCCAGGTAATGAGACAGATGCATGAATACCAAGTCGTCGATGCTCAGTCCAAACTGTGCAGCATAAGTAAAGGTACTTAGGTACTACAAACGCTAGGGGTGGGCGGGCGAGCGAAACAACAGAGATGAGGGAAAAATAACCAATTCTCAAACACATATAACTCCGTCAATTTCCCTAGGTACTAGATACTATCAAAGGCGCCCTTTTTTCATACGATGGATGACGCAGTGCAAAAAAACCACAAACAACGAAAAAGAAACCCGCAGGTATCATGTCTATCTATACCATAATATTTCGCACCAGACAAGGCAAACATTTACTTTCCTTCCTTCTTTCTCTAAACAGGACGGAATCACTCGTCATCCTCCTCCTCCTCTTCATCCTCCTCTTCATCTTCCTCATCCTCCTCATCATCCTCCTCAGCAAGATCATCATGATCCTCCTCATCGCTATCCTCCTCATCCTCAGCCTGCTTCCCCAGCCTCTCCTCGTCTTCCTCCTCCTTCCTCTTCTTCTCATCCTCCTTCCTCGCCTCCTCCATCATCTTCCTCTTCTCCGCCCTCAACTTCCTCTGGCTCACCACAAACGCACCCAGCGGCGTCTTCTCCCACTCAAAGTCCCTTAGGAACGCCTCGACCTGTGTGCGATCGTTGGGCGCAAAGTCGACGCGGTTGCGCTTGTCCTCGATGAACTTGGCGTTGGACTCGATCTTTTGCACCAAGAGGGCCAGCTGTGTACCGATCTTGCCGTTGTTGTTGCCAGTGCTCTTCTTGCGGGAGTCCTTGAGCCAGCGCTTCAAGGCAACAACGACGGGAAGGGAGAACTCAGGGAAGGCGATGTTGCGCGACCAGAGGACGAAGTACTCGGACAGCAACTCGACGACTTGCTCGCCGAGGCCATCCTGGTAGACGCGCGTGCGCAGGTAGGACTTGGGCGCCTTGTAGGCGGTGGCAAAGTCGAGCGGTTTGAGGGTGGACGACTTGGGAGGCTTCTTCATCTCGGCGGAGTTGAGAACCTCGAGGAGGGCGGAGGCCAGGGGGATGTAGGTGTCGGTGGCACGCGAGAGGCGCAGGAGCGAGCGGATGAGCTGGAAGCGCAGAGGGAAGTAGAGAGCCGTAGGGATGAGGCGCATGGCACCGAGGGTAACTTGTACCAAGGGGTAGATAAGGAGCTTGAGCTGGGACTCCTTGCCGGCTTCGGCCTCCTTGAGCGGGGAGCAATGCTCGGAGAGGACGCATGACCAGAAGTCGAGCGAGTGCACGTACTGCCAGTTGTAGACGTTGCGGAAGGCGTTGTTCTTGTTGTGGACGATGGAGTTGCGAAGGTGGATGGCCAGCTGGCGGATGAAGCCGAAGGCGGTGGTGTAGCCGAGGGTCTGGTCGAGACCCCAGAGCTCGGCCGCCGAGTTCTTCATGATGTTGATGCCCGCCACCGTGTTGACGTTAGTCAGGCGGCAGCCCTGCACAAGACCCTGGTAGACGGCCTTGAGGACCGTCTCGCGCACACCCTTGTCTGAGATGACCATCAGGCGCCGGGCGACCAGGAAAGCTGTTATCCTGGTGGCTTCGGTGCTGGCGGACTGCGACCAGAAAGCGACGACCGTCTTGATCAAGACCTTAAGAAGCTTTCTGAAGGAAAGGAGGTAAGGGAGCAGAGGCTCAAGAGCGGAGATTGTGAGTTTAAGGGTGGGCTCGTCGGAAAGGGTGCCGAGGAGGTGGATGATGGAGGCGGCGTAGTTCTTGACGAGCTGCGAAAGGATCTTGAACTTCTTGGTATCGGTGTTGACGTAAGCCTTGCCGGAGGCGGACTCCTTGACAGGTACGTGGTGTGCGAGCACCTCGGGAATATGCTTAAGGGCCAGAACCAAGATGTCGTTGAAGGCATCTGGGTTGTTGATGGTGTATCGTTGGGGCTTTTCGTCGTCGTCCTCGTTCAGGTGGGCGGCGCAACGGAAGGCTATTACTACCTGGCGAGCGGCTCTAAGTGACTTTGTTTCCTCGATCTGTGCCTTCCACTTGGCGATCATTTTCTGGGTGAGTTCGAAGCCGTTCTCCTCGTCGGCAGCCTTGGTGTCCTTCTTTTGCTTCTTCTTCTTGGGCTCCTCGCCCTCGCCCTCGCTCCCGCTGAGCTCGTCAATCTCGGAAAAGTCTGCGTTTTCGTCGAACTCAAGGGCCTCTGGGTCGTTCTCCTTCAAGAACTTGTAGAATTCGGGATCCTTTTCGGCGAGGGAGGCCATGGCTTCCTTGGTCATGCCGGTAGGGGCGGCACCGTCTACGACCTCGTCATCCTCCTCGTCGTCGTCGCTAACCTCGTCGTGGGAAATATCGTCGTCGGAGAAGTCGACATCGCTGCCCTCGTCTGCTGATGGCTCCTCCTCGGCGTCGGACTCTTCTTGGTCGCGTTTCCTCTTGCCCAATTTGCCAGAGGCATCCTTGGTCTTCTTGTCGAGAATCTCGAAGCCGCCCTGGAAGAAGTCGTCGACGGTCATTTCGCCGGCGGCGGCAGTACCGAGGTTCTTCTTGACGTGGACAGGCTTCTTGCCGCCATCGGGGCCCTTGATGAAGGCGTCATCTTGGGACTTCTTGGCCTGCTTCTTCTGCTTGATCTGCTCTTTTTGCTTGATCTTCTGGACGACCTTTCTGCGTTCTAGAACACCCTTTAGGTGCTTCTTTTCGAACTTTTTCGTTTGTTTGACGTTTTTGACCATGATGGGCGACTGGCTGGGTGGTGTGATGTGTCCAGTCTGGTCAAATGGGTGTGGTGTGGTTTTTTTTCCCTTTGGTGAAGTGAACCTGGAAGTGGAAGTGGAAGCCAATTCCTGTCGGCAACCACCAAATCTGACCCGTGCTCTCTGCTCTTGCCGTCGCGGTCCTCCCAAACTTTTTTCTCCTCTTAGATTCCGGGGTTCTTATCGGCTGCTCTTATCGGTAAAGACGCTAGTTCGTTCCTGGACCTAGCGCCGCACCTGGCGGGGCACTTCTGTCACTGTGAGGGATCCACTCTTGACCGGCGCATGCAGCTTCCACTTGTCTTGGAACGTCCTCGCAGCTCTCCATCCACTGAAGCTTCAGTGCTTCCACCCGCAAGGTACTCGTCATCTTCAAGTTCCATGATTTCATCCGTCATGAAGTGTCCAACAACAACAAGAACAACGACACTTGACAATCTCAGTCGTCCATCATGATTTCCCGCCAGCCATACGCGCCTACACCACATAGCTATGTTCCCAACACTACACTCTCAGCTACGATAAACTTGGATGAAGTAAACAAACCCCACTCGGGTATTTGGCCATGTCATGTCACGAGGTGGTCCATTTACTGACAACATGATGCCATTGTCACTTTAACAGGAAGTGAAGCTCGCCAACACCCGGGCTGAGCGTGACCTCCAGGACTCATTAGCCGAGATCTTCAGTATTATCGTCACTCTGGATGAGCTGGAAAAGGCATTCCTGAAAGATGCCATCCCCGAGGCCGATTATACTGAGATCTGTGAGAGATCGCTAAAGCAGTACAAATCGCTTGTCGCTGACGAGACTGTCGCCAAGGCATTCGTTGGCTTGGAGGAGTTCAAGGCCAAGTGGGATGTGCGTATATAATCGAACTCACTTCACTGTTTGATGAGTTTGACTCGCTTACACACACACCTCTTCATAGCTCGAGGTTCCTCGCGCAACCGAACGCATCCGCGTCGGCATGCCCTCAACGGCCGTCAACGCCTCCTCCGGTCCAGCACCCGCCACAGTTGCCGCTTCTGGAGGCACGAGCGGCACTCTCATTCTCGAAGCCACTCAGGACTTCATCACATTCCTTGATGCCTTGCGTCTTGGTCTATTGGCCAAGGATCAGCTGCACCCTCTTCTAACAGACGTGATCCAGTCGGTGAACAAGGTGACGGACAGGGACTTTGACAATAGGGGCAAGATTGTGCAATGGCTGATCACCCTTAACCAGATGAAGGCGACGGAAGAGCTGAGCGAGGAGCAGGCCAGGGAGTTGGAACTGGATATCAACTCGGCGTATCAGGGCTTCAAGAGCACACTTACGTAGAGCCAGTCGTGTTACAGGATTTTGACGGGTATCTAGCAGTATTGAGCATCGCTACACCAAGAACGTCCAAAAGCTAGGATAAACAAATTCCTCCTCAAAGATCCTCCTCACCTGCTCCAGCACGAACCTTTCCACTTTACCCACGTTCTTCAAGCTCTGCTTACCGCTTTCTCTCTGCCCAATCTCACTTTCGACGCGGATTTCCTGCAACAGCCCACCCATCTTTGTCTTTGCCCCGTCGCTGCCTCCTATCCCAGAACCATTCCCGCTCCCAGCAGCCTTGTTCTCCTCCCCACCCACAGCAGCCACAGCATCTTCAGGGCTCAAAAAGCAGAAATGCACTCTCTTCCTGATATTCGCCACCACTCCCACGCCATCGAACGTGAGTCCCGTGATGCTCAACCGCACCGGAATCCCCACAAAGCTGGGCATGGGGTAATCCAACAGGATGTCAGCCGTCAGCAAGAGCTTGACATCGCCAGCGTATTTGATGCGGAACACAGCTTGGATGTCTTCCACCCTTGGTTCCCGAAACCGTTGCCTTTCTTCTTCCCCTTCCTCTTCCTCCTCTTCATCTTCCTCAGGCTCCAGCTGTTGAGCCGGGTGGTCCCGATGATCATGCATCCCATCCAAGAACCCGTCATCGTCATCCAAGATGGCCGACCCCGCCCGGTTGTTACTTGTCCCAGCCGAGTTGGGTGCCAAGGTAGAAACGCTATGCTTCTCCCTCAGCCCTTGCTTGGGAATCTGTAGTCTCGGTCCACTCGTCGCTAGTGCACCAGCACCAGCACCAGCCGCCCCAATTCCCCTTCCCCCAATCCCCAGTCCCACTGCCGGCGATGGCGTAGACGACGGTGGCGAAGCAGCAGCTGCCGAGAATAACCCTTGTCTCTCCGCCGGCGCCGGCGCAACCGGGCTATAATCGCCCACAGAGTTCAAGCTCTGCGAAGAAGGATTTCTCTTGTGTCTCGGACCCGTCGGGATGGCTAGCACAGGAGCAGTCGGCGGGTAGCCCATGCTTGCCATGCTTCCCATGCCCGCCATGCCCATTCCGCGACCAATGCCTCCCACGCCGCCGGCGGTCCCCAAGGTACCTAATGGGGTGCTGGTGCCGGTGAGGGGGCTGGGTCCCGGTGCGTTTTTGCCAGTTCCAACTCCCGGGAAGTGAAGCCGGAGATTGGGCGTGGATGAGCTGTGAAGACCTTGGGTTGTTGCTGCTGCTGCTGCTGCTGCTGCTACTGGTCCTCCCATTCCTCCTGCTCCTCCTCCTCCTGCTCCTGGTAGTATGTTGTTTTGTTGCTGTTGTTGTTGGTCTGCAATCCATGAGGGGCCGCGTTGGTGGGCGGCGCCAGCTACGGCGGCTAGAGGCGTTTGTGTGCCGGAGAGGCCGGCGGTGAATTGCGAGGTGAAGTAATGCAGATTGAGGTTGGAGGTCCCGCCGGGGATTCCGGGGGTGGACACGCCGAGAAAGGGAGAGCCTAGGTCGGCGTGGTGGTGGTTGGTGCCGTGGGCGGGACCGCCGAGACCTGCTGTGTTTGGGTCCCGGTAATATCTGCCATCTCTGTCCAGGCTCTGTGAACTGTTGTTGCCGCTGCCGCCGCTGTAGTGTGGGTTCAGGTGCGGTGGAAGGTAAGCTACTCTGCCTGAATTGGGGCCACTTCCATTTCTGCTTCCGGTACTGCTGTTTACTGTGAGTCTTCGCCGTGATTCTGAGGCAGAGGCGCCTCTCAGCCTGCCGTACTGCTGCTCGACTGGGTCGTCGAGGTATTCGCCTTCATTTTCGTAGGCGACTTCTTCTTCCGAGTCTGATTCTTCCGAGGAGTCTATACCGGGTTGCTCTTCGTAAAAATCGGGAAGGGGGTCGGTGATATCCTTGAGCTCGATCTCGGGAGGAATGGAGCCAAACTCAAAGTCGTGAACGGTGACGGACTTGATGAAACGCGGAAGTGGGACGGCCTGGAACTTTTCGTGAATAAAATCGCGGATTTTGTGGGCGAGTTCTTGGCCGTCGGGGCCGCCGGTGACGGTGTCCCAGTTGAGGTCGATTGACATGGAGGAGTGAGGTGAAAAGGGTAGTGGTTGTGGTGGACGTCAACTGTCTTTAATGACGAATTGAAGTGAGGTTTCGGGGTTGAAGTTGAAAGTTACTGTAAGGGTTGAGAGTACTAGTAATGAGACATGGGGTTGTTAGGGCACTGTATGGAGCTCAATTCCCATCACCGATAACCCTGAGCGCAAACAAGTATCATTGTCTTGACAACGTTAAAACCAGATATTGCAGTCACTGCCTTGATCCATCCAAACCATTCTTGTATAATTACCTAGCCTTCAAGCTCTCCTTCATTAATCCTGCTTTCAAGTTCTAAACGTGTAGGCACGATGAGTTCTCTCGATGACATCGGGGAAGTTTGCAAGGAAGGATGGAAGAGAGACTTGAGTTAAACGGAATACTGTTTGCGACATGGGCGCATACTGTGAAAGAATGCATACTTGTAGCGATCACTGCAGATATTGGAAAGCACATTGCTCACTTCAACTGTTTCATGTTACAACAAGATCATCATGTCAGACACCCTAAAGTATTGACTCACAAGGTGATATTGAAATCCAATATCAGAGGACTCACATATCAGATCACCACCATACATACATTATCCGCTAACGGAGGAGTGGATGAGGCGAGAATAACCCTAACCCGAGCTTCTTCTGTACATACGTACACTACCTTCCCCGCCAGGCATGACGGCAGCCGGAGTGGAGGCACCGCAGCCGAAAAGTGGGTCGTTTCCCAGGGCAACCAAGGAGCGTGACCCTTGATCAACAAAGGGTGCCACTTTTGCATTTTCCCTTTCCCTCAATTGTTGACTTTTGAATCACCCTCCCGCATCCTCCATCCAATCCAATCCCCCCCAAAAATTCGGGTGTGCAAATAGCCTAGGATTTCGAGCGCGATCCTGCACACACACCCACCACCACCTTTCTGCCAAGTGCTTCTCTGTTTATCATTCTCACTTTTCCCGCCACTTCGCATATCGGTTATCCTCCTTGTGTCGTTTGCTTGTTGCATCGCATCGAGTATTCGCTTTGCCCTAACAACCCGTCGACCAAGGAACCCTGACCACCGCGACAAACACCCCGCCGCGCAAACATAAACAACCACCCTTCATGATTCGCCCTTAATTCTTTGCTAAAGAAGAGTCTCGTCGCCAATATCTTCAACCACACATCACCACATCGCCCATCATGGGTGACCCGAAACCCAATACACAGCAACCACAACAGCGCATGACGAGAGCGCGTGTGGCCTCGTCTGCCGTCACCAAAAATGCTAGAGCCATGACCGCCGCAGCCAGAGCCAGGAGCGCGACCACCAGCACCACATCCGCGACATCTGCAACGACCGCCCCATCGAGAGCCACCGCGCCCACTGCCTCGACAAGCCTCAAGAGAAAGACTCGGACCGACGATGATGAGGACGACAACGACCATCATGCAAAGCATCGTCCTGCTCCAGCCCCCGTTACGCGACCTGTACGTCTGCCAGCCGCCGCTCTCGCAACCACCCGCGCCACCCGAGCACGAGCACGGAATCCAGCCAACGGAGCTGCAAAGACATCGAGACCTGCCTCGTCTTCACTCGCATCAAGACCTGCGTCATCAGCCTCCACCAGACCGCCAGTAATCACCGCGCGCGGTAGGCCGCCAACCAAAGCTCAAGAACCTGCCTCCAAGGCCACTCGCGCGACGCGTTCAGCCAAACCCGGCGATGACCAGATTTCCTCAACAGCCACCTCCAGAAACACCAGCACAACCAGGACGCGACCGACCAGCTCAACGGCGACTGCGCCCACCGCCGCATCTAAAGCGCTCGCAAAGCCCGCCATCAAGAAGACTGTCAAGTTTGAGGAGCCAGAAAAGGAGAACATTGGGCCTCCGGGAGGAAGAAAGAAGAAGACAGGTCCAATTGCACATACCGGAGGGCTTCGCGCAAAGCCAGTCAGGACTCGAACGGGTACGGCAGTAAAGGGATCAACATCAACGGCCAGGAGAGGTGTTGCTAATAAGGGCGCGACAAACAAGCCGGTGTCTCGTTCTGGCCAATCAGCTACCCCCGGCGATGCTAAGGAAAGCATCAAGGTTGAAGGCATGAAACACAAGCCCCTTCCCCTTAGCCCCAAGAAGGTTAACCAACTAGTGGCAGCCGCCAAACTCGCCGACGACTCGGAGGATGAACTCGCTATTCATGAGAATAGTCCGGCCTTGTTGCAGCCCTTACTGACCGGCAGAGCTCCCATTAAACCGCCGGCCTCGACGACCAGCAAGAAGGCACTGGAGAAACAACCTGAACAGGATCCGCCCAAGGATTTCGAAGCCCCGCCGGCATTAATATCCACCACGAATCCCGAATCTGCAGATCACAACAAGGATGCCTCCGCCGAACCTTCAGTCTTAAAGCCACACTTCCTTCCAGCCGAACATCTCTCGATGCTCGCTTCTCCCGCTCGCCGTCCTCCGCCATCCCCATGGAAGAACAGCATCAAGACCCCGGCAAAGCGTGTCGAAGGTCTGTTTGCTGGTGTGCCCCTACTCGCCAACCGACCGGATGGGCAACCCGTTGCACAACCCGCCAAGAGCGGTCCCAGTCTTCTTGCCAGTCCAGCCAAAAGGCCACCCGGAAATGCGACTGTGCCCAATGGTGGAGGTGTGCTTGCTGGTCCCGCTACCATCTCGACAAACACTGGAATGATGAACCCGCCCTCTCTCTTCGCCAGCCCGGCCAAGAGGGTGCCTATGTCTGCTGTCAAGCCACAGTCCGTTACGGAAGAACTTGCTGCTGAAGCCAAGCCCTCTTTGCTCGCCAGCCCACCTGTCAAGTTCGGAACTGCGAGACGCAAGTCGCAGCGTCTGGAAGAGATGGCGCGGGAGCAAGAACACAAAGAGCAGGAAACGGATGCCAAGGACGAGGAACATAATGACCAAGCGGAAGCGGGTGAAGAGATGGCGAATGAGCAGCAGATCCACGAGCAGGAGCAGGAGGACGAAGAGATGGACTCTGCGGACGAAGAGGATGACGACGGTCCTTCTGGTGAGCTTGGCGAGCGTACGATGCAGATTCTCACTTCCTCGACAAAGGCAGCTAGGCTACTTTTTACTGGACGCCGACGATCTCTCAGGCATATCGAGAAAGAAGCCGAAGCTGCCGTTCAGGATGAACCAGAAACCCCACCTGAAGATGAACATGGCCAGGAAGGGACGCAGCAAGAAGAGGGACAAGAGGAGGTGCAAGAGGAGGTTCAAGAGGAGGTTCAAGAGGAGGTGCAAGAGGAAGAGTCCGAGGTTGAGCAGGAAAAGCTTGAGGAAGAGCACGAAGAGGAGCATGAGGCTGAACAAGATCAAGATCACGAGATGGCAGACCAGGAAGAGGAGCAGAGTGCCGAGCCCGAGGTCATCGAGCCGGATGACGAGGAGGACTCGATGGAGCTCGATGAGGTCGAGCTAGGCAACGAAAGCGTCGAACAAATCGTCATTCCCGAGACGCCGCAGCCTGAAAATGATGATCAGAGCTACTTGGACATCGACCAGAGCATTAGCACCACTCCTCCCGAGTCACCACCTCAGCATCTGCTGAACGGTCATTCATTCGGCAGTCTTCGCCAAGATGTCCTCAACCCTACTGAAGAGAACGAGGACGGTACTCCCGCCCAACCCCCAAGGGGTAGCAAGTCTAATCCTCATCCCGCTGCCACACCCTCTGTCAACAGCGGTCACCGGACACCTTCTGGTCGAAGCACAACTAAGAGAATGCGCTTTGACAACAGCAGCTCTGGCCTGGGTTTCACGCCGCTGGCGGAGCAGTTGAGCGGATGGAAGGGAGGTGTTACACCGGCACCCCCCAAGGTTAAACTGCTGAAGCCCACGGCTACCCCATCGAAGGCTGCTGCTAACGACAACGCTAAGCTTGGATTTACCCCTCTAGCTGAGAAGCTGAGTGCTTGGCACGGCGGAGTTACTCCGGCGCCTCCAAAGACCCAAGCACCTCTGAAGACTCCTGCATCCGCAATGAACGAGACTAACCTGAGCCTTGGATTTACACCCCTGGCCAAGCAGCTGAGTGGCTGGAACGGTGGTGTAACTCCCGCTAAGTCCAACACTGCGGCTCCTTTGGAAGGCAGGTTCGGTAAGAGGAGGAGTTCAAGGAGGTTGCAACAAGTGGACGAGCAGGAGGAGACACTCTTCGATGTGGCCGCGATGAAAGAGGCGGGGATTTTTGGGACTTCGGTTGCTCGCCAACAGCAGCAGCAGAAGTCGAAGGAATCTTCGCCCGAGAAGACTATAGATCAGCCCTCTGAGAGAGCTGATGCTGAGACTCCCGCTGATGTTGAGACCCTTGTTCAGCAGCAACAGGAGGACAAGAACATGGAAGTGGCTCAGGAAAAGGAACAGGTTGTCGAAATGGAGCAACGTGAGGAAGTTCAAGTGGACATTGACTCTGCTGATGTACATGAGACACATGTTGACGAGGATGCTCACAAGGCTGCCGAGGCTGTCAAGGGCGAAGAGGAGCAAGAGGAAGGGGACTCCGCTGAGACAGCAATGGCCGATGCCGATCAAGCCGAAGTCGACCCTGATGCCATGGTTGACGGTGATGACGAATCTCCAATTCTCGAGGACATCCCTATCACCACCGAAGATGTCGAGCTCGCAGCCGAGGCCGAGGCGCTAGCCCGCATTTCTGATGTGATGGACACGACCGATGGCGCCGATAAGGATGGAAGCCAGCACAGCATCTCTGATAGCCTCTCGGAAGCGAGCCAGGAATATGGCGATGAAAATGCCGTTCCGGCTGTGGCCGAGTTCACTACCCGCCCACTGAATGTCAACCTCTTCACACCGGCTGACACGACAAATCGGGTCACCAGACGAGCTTCCGCTGCTCTTGCTCACCCGACCACCCCCGTTCGCCCGCAGGCTGCCCTCAGGGAGGTGCACACAGTGTCCAAGGTTCCTCTCAAATCTGCTGAGGGAGCCGACCCTGCGCCACCGCGTTCTCTCAGACCTAGGAAGTCGGGGAGAAGCAGTCTTTCGAGGGTCTCATTTGCGGACACTGCTGATGTCATCATAGAAGAGCGTCAGGAGGATATGGAAACCGTGGAAGAGGAGGCCGAGGAGCACGAGCAGGAGCAAGAGAATGAGCCGGTTGACGTGCACATCCAGCAGACTCCAGCCAAGACCACTCCCGCTAAGCAAACTCCGGCTCAGCAGACAACTCCCTTCAAGACACCCTTGAAGCAGACTCCACCTCAAGTGGTCGCTGGACAGAATAACGCTCCTGTACCGTCGCCTCCCAAAGGTCACGAGATGACTACAGATGAGAGCGGCCGGCAGAGACGCCGCAGCCGGCGGATCTCCAGCATGGGTGCAGGGGCATCACTGGCCGAGATCCCAGAAGACGAAGCCGAGTTCGGGTCCCCGATTGCCGAGGAACCAGAGGTAGAGGATGAAGAAGATGACTTTGTCCCCTCCGAGCCGGTCACGCCCGCCAAGTCCGAGGTCGAGTGGTCGGCTATGGACACGCCTGCTCGTACTCCTCACAAGGACCTCAATCCCAAGCTGTTGAGGGGGGCGGTTGTGTACTGCGATGTGCATACTGCTGAGGGCGCGGATGCCAGTGGGCTCTTTATTGAGCTGCTAGGCCAGATGGGCGCGCGTTGCGTAAAGAACTGGTCGTGGAATCCCACTACTGGTGCTTCGGGTGATGAACCGGTTTCTGGGCCAGGACAGAAGATTGGTATCACGCATGTAGTGTTCAAGGATGGTAGCAAGAGGACGCTGGAGAAGGTCAAGGAGAGTCAAGGTGTTGTGCAGTGCGTGGGAGTCAGCTGGGTTCTTGAGTAAGTACCCATTATCTCTCTGACAAACTAGGTGATGAACAATATGCTAACGGTTTCTATACAGTTGCGAACGTGAAAACAAGTGGCTAGACGAAGCCGATTACTTGATCGACCTCTCTTTCATCCCCCGCGGTGGTGCCCGCAGGAGAAAGAGCATGGAGCCCAAGGCGCTAGCCAATCTCAACGGTACCCTCGTGCCCTCCGGCTCCGGTTCCAGCTCCAGCGCGACCATCACAACCAAGACGACCACTACCACAACCACGACCACCTCATCATTCTCCTCCTCAACTACCACCCGCCAAACCCAACAACAACACCCCACAACCCCCGGCAACACCACCAACACTGGCCGCAGCAAGCGCCGCTCCTCCTCCCTTTGGATCCGCACCCCTCCCTCCCCCGACGCCTCTTCATCATCCCCCGGTGGCGACAACAACAACCGTCGCGTAAGCGACTCCATCCTCGCCATGTCCACATCAACCACCACGAGACCTCAAGAAGAGGAGGAAGAAGAAGAAGAAAGGGAATGGTCCACCTTCTCTCCCATCCCCAAAACCCCGGCCCCCGAAACCATCGCCCGTCTAGCAGCTAACCTATCTCCGGCTTCTTCCACCACTACCACCACCGATTACCCCGGCGGCGGTGGTGACATTGACATTGACATTGACGGAGGTTCATTCCTGATCCCAGCCGACGAAGCCGGCCACGAGGCCAAGTTCCTAAGGGAAGCGATGCCGGAGCGCGATATTCAAGGTTTCCACGAGAGAGGAGCCATGACGTGTCCGCCCAAGCCTAGTTTAAGCTATGCTGTTCCTTCCACTATTGGTTCCTCGACAACAGCAGGTAACGGTAGAAGGAGTCTGTTTTCCGTCTCAGTCGGGTCTGGCTCTGCCCCTGGATTTTTGAGTCAGGATGAGATGGATGTTGATAGCAACAGCAACAACAACAACAACAACAACAACGGCGAGGGACCAACTTCTGCTGCTGCTGCTGCTGCTGCTGCTCCGCTGAGCACAATGGCAGGAACAATGGGTCTACTCCGAGGAGGCCGTGATAACAACAACAATAACACCCGTGAAAGAAACCTGGGAGTCATGATGCGGCTGAATGCGGCAAGACGAAAGAGCTTGCAGTTTGCGCCCAAGGTGGGGAGTCCGCTTGCGAGGAGTTGGACGGGAAATAACAACAACAACAATAACAATAACAATAACGGTGGAGGGGGAAGTGTCGGGGGTGTTGGAGGCACAGCGAAGTAAGAAGAGGGGGAAAATAAAAGATGAGGGAGGAGAGTTCGCTTGCTTTTTTACTTGTTTTGTTCTGTTGTCGTCCTTTTGTTTATTTGCTGCTGTTGGAGTAAAAAGAGAGGTTTATTAGGCTCATCAAGGTATACCATCCATGGCGTTTTCTTGTTTGGAGGAAAGGGAGGGAGGGTCAAGGTTTGGTCGTCTGTCTGTAATGCGAAGGAATGGTTTATGGAGTTTCTCTCATTGATGGATTGTTTACGCTGTTGAGGTGCTGTTTGGGCTGTGAAATGACTATGATGTTTCTTCTCGGCTTTTGCGAATATTGTTAAGAAACCGAATCACTCGCTTCCTAATTGCCATGGAGAGTTACGGCTTGTTGAGGATGACCACGGGCTGTGTACATTGTTATAAATCAAGTACACTTACTGCGTAGATGCGAGTATGTTTACCGTTCTCATGATTCATTGATTGAGCTCGTTGCCGAAAGCCGGTCAACTTCCACGAAGACTCTCCTTGAAAAGGGAGTTGCGTGGCGTGAATAATAACTGTTTGTGAAGTATAATATACCGGGATTTCAAACCCAGACCCAGCCACCGTATTACCCCCCAACAGACAAAATGCTGCCTCCTTAAGTTTGGTATCCTCTTTCTCTAATCCCGAGCTGTCTACCCCCCTTTCCCTCCTCCTCAATTCTCGTCCTCCTGCCCCCGTCACCACCCCGAATCCACAACCTCCCCTAGACCTCAACCCTCTACCTCCCCTCCCCCAACCTCCTAAACCCCTCCAGCACATCCTTATCCACATTAACCGCCCACTCCGCCTCAAACTGCTGCTCACCACCCATCCTCTGCACCAACCCCTGCAGCCGTTCCCTAGCAAACTCGTACGCTTCCACTCTATGCACCGGATCCTTCAGCGCAAACTGCCGTTCCGTCACATCGAGCGGGGTATCCCACTCGTAACTAGGCAAGTTATTGGGATCCCATACCAGGTAATCCCTTGGGTTAGTACTCCCTCCCGCTAGCTGCTCTTTCGATGTTGAGTTTATCGATTGTCGGAAATCTTGTTGTTCAGTCAGCGACTGATCATCCTCGCTCGCCGCCAACTCCGTCACCACACTCGTCCACATAGCCAAGAAATCCTGCAGCCTCGCGAGCACAATCTTTTCCTGCACCATGGGGTCCGGCAGCTCCCAGAGGCGGGTGAGCGCCAACATGCTGAGCTTCTGCCGTTCGACCTCGGCCATGCAGTCAAAGTTGTTAAACCACAAGGTCCCAAGCCACTCCCACACCTGTTCGGCGGTGGAGCCGGCGGTCGTCGCGATGCCGGCCAGCATGGTCAGAAACACTGTAGGGTCGCCGAGCGCGATGCGTGCCAGCAGCATGAAGTAGTCCGTCTGCTTGATCGTGTTGATCTGGCTGACCTTCTTGTTGGGGCCGTGCGTCGTGCTTGCCTCCCAGGCGCTGTGGAGGCCCTCGAAGATGGTGTTGAGGAGGCCGATTTCCAGCATGTCCTGGACGACTACCTGCAGCCCTTGGACGCCCCCGATATTCTCGGCGATGCGCAGAATCAGCTCGATGGACCTCGCACCGGTCTGAGATTGCTCGCGGGAGCGGGCGTCGAGTGTCTTGACGAGGGCTGCGAGGGTCGGACGGCGTAGGCGATCGTCGAGGATCTCGCGGGGCGCGAGGAGGATGTAGTTCTTTACGACTTCGAGACACTGGTTTGCTACTTCCGAATCATACTCAAGGAGGGGCAGAGCAAGCTCAACCATTTGTACAAGGTCGGGGTGTAGGGGAGGGTAGCTTTGTGTGGTTACGGACTTCCACAGAGCTACCGATTCTTCAATAAGGTGGAGGTGAAGGGCAGACTCGGGTTCCATAGCCTCACGCAGCAGGGGGATAATCGCCGGTTGGTACCGCTGAGAGTCCCCACGCATCGAGTCAACGAGCGCAGACATGATGGCCAGAATAGACTGCTTGATCATATACTCCTCCTTTTCAGCTGACTCCCACAACTTGGGAAGAGTCAGCATAATGGCGTCGCCAAACTGAGTAATATGAGTCTCCATTCGCTGCACAATCGCCCGAATAGTGTCGAGAACAGTCAACTTGGTCTCATCGCTTTCCACCTCCTGGAGGAGCCCCATAAGCTGGTTGAAGACGTCGGGGGCAAACGGTAGGAACTGCTCGCCCTGGAACCCAAAGTCGTCCACGATACCCTTAAACTCGCGCGCAGCAGTGGTACGGACAACCTGATCGTTATGCGGGTCGTCAGGGTTCATCAAGTGTCTAAAGATTTCGTAGACAGCAGGTCGACTTTCCTCGGCGATCTTGATGGAGATCCACTGGTTGAGCAGGATGGCTATCCGTCTACGGAGCAGCTTGGACATGGAGTCCTGGATCTGTGCGTCCTTCACCAGTGTAGTCTTTAGGAAACGGTCAAAGTCGAAGGCCTCGTGAATAACAGCGGCTGCACACCCAAGAGCGCAGTAAGCCGCCTCCTTGGTGACGATATCCATATCGACCTTGGTCGCAAATTCGCAGTATGTAAGAAGTGGTCGCCCAAGCTCCTTGTAGTGCGTCAGGAGGTCAATGAGCAACCTTTCAGCACAAGGCCGAACAGCCCACTCGTATGCTTGACCTTCGTTACGCTCCGCAGCTTCCCACCCTTCCGGATCTTCTTCCCATGCCTCGAGATCGGACTGCCGGAAGATGAATAGCCTACTGATGGTTACTTGGACAATATCCAGCAGGAAGTTGTTTGTCAATAGTTGGTCCTTGACAAGCTCCATGGCCTCTCTTTCCTGATTCTTGACCTCTGGGCTCTTGTATTTGAAAGTCTGCATCGGCCTGTGGGCAATCGACACACAGCTTCTAAGTAGCAAAAGACCTTTAAGGGCCAGCTTCTCCGAGAGCGGTCCTTCGTGTTTGGCGCTACCGTCGTGGTTCTCAGAGCCCGTTTGCCTGATGCCGCCCGACTTTTCAAACTCATTTGAGAATTGCTTTACAAGATTCCAGTAAGCCTTGACGAGCGGAATGGAATTCGGTAGCAAAGGGAAGCTGGCTGGGTGGGAATCGCACATGTCGATGTGCAGTTTCGTGAACTGGATCAAGTGCTTGCCCACCGAGTCCTGGAAAGGGGCAGGGACGTGTGACTCGGAGCTGACGCCGGTAAGGAACTGGTCAAATTGGGATTGCGACAGTGACCAGAAGCCCTGGACCATCGGATCGGTATGGGGATGTTCGTAGCCAACGGTGACCAGCCTACGTAAGATTTTGAGGGCTGTGAGGCTGTTTTGCATGTAGTAGTCGGCCTCATCCTCATCGCCAGTGCCACCCCTGGCGAAGAACTGCTGCCATGCGGCCGTCCGCTCGGTATATATCTCACCGAGCAATTGGACAAGCTCGGGTGTGACAGCCTGAAGAGCGGTCTGGGACCTCCGCAACCGCGCTGTTGCGAGCTCTTTGACTACCCGCAGCAGCACCTGCAGAGCTCCGCTGAGAGCAAGAGCACTCTCTGTTCTGGCGCTCCTCGTGACATTGATAATGCTCGGGATGACGTCTGGCCAGTCGTTGGGGTAGTCTATGCGGACAATCTTTGCGATGACAAGGGCGTTGTGTAGTGCGAGGGTCTTGTCCTCCTCGCCGACTGAGCCCTGTAGTAGCCTCGAGCGAATAAACTGTTTCTCGGCGGGTTGGATCGCATGTTTCGCAGTGTGTCGCCAGTATTTGTCGATTCCGTTCTTGAGCAGGATAACTGCGAGAAAGCGGACGGAGTTGTTTATGGACTTGTCGAGGAAGACGGTCTATATGGCAAGAGACGTTAGCACCGTCACCACAAGGGAAGTCCAAGAGGCTGATAGCTCCAACTGAACCCACCTGTAGAGAAACATAGTAGTCTGGGCGAGACTCCCATGACTGAAGCTGCTGGCCGGCTGACTGTCTCTGGGTGTGATCTGTAGAAAGGGCGGCGTACTCTAGCGTCCGGGCAAGCTCGAGGAGGTTTAGAGGGGCTGCCTCGCCGGGCACCTCGATAGCGAAGCTCATTGTGTTGTTCTTGTTGTTGTTGTTGTTGTTGTTAGCGCCGGCTGGGGGGTGTCTCTGGCCTAGTCGTAGTCGGTTGAGGGTGGCCTGGGGTATCATATATAAGGAGCGAAAGAAAGTCAATTCTGTAAATGTTTCAAGTCGAGTTGGTGGAATCAGTTGAAGCAAGCGGAATGTAGATGGAGGAGCTTGACAAGTTGAGGCCCGTTTCTGAACTTGGAGAGGTCTGAGCTGTGACGCGCTGCAGCTAGGTAGAGTGTTGAAGCGGGCCCCCGTCACTGCAGTGGGCTGAAATGGATGTCCCGGGCGGTTTGGACAGTACCTATCTAAAACAACTGGAAGGCGGGGCAGCTTGAAATGTTAGTGCAGCCACTTTACTGCGGTGCGAAATCCTAACACTCCTGCAACCACTTTCACCCGAGACCGCCTTTATCAACACAGGAAGAATAAAAGGGGGCTTCCTATTCTAGCTGGCTGCAGACTACCTAACACACCTAGTTACACACTCGATGCTCTTGGTTGTCTTCTCAACCTACAAGCTCGAACTAGGAACAACCTGTTCTAGCAAAGCAATGCCCGCAAACGCTCCCTGGTCCTCATAAATTGTCTGTTTACCACTGCCGTCCATGTTGAACCGATAGACCGCACCGCCGCTGTGTGCTTGGTTAGTACATCAATTCGAGTCTTTAAAAGTAGTGTGGGTGTTGACATACAGATCTGTAGCATAGATGTACCTGTTCTGTTGATCAATGGCCAGTCCAATCGCCTCATGCAAATTCCGCGCGAGGACCTGATGCTTGCTGAATGACCCATCCGGATTCAAAGCTGCCCGGTTCAAAGTGTTGCCGTTCGGCAGCTCTCCACGGTCAGTCCAATACAGAGCGCTGCCCTCCTCGTCCATGGCGAGGTCGACCGGCTCCGGCAGGTGATCAAAAACCACCTCAACATCCGGTCTGTTGGAAGCACCAAATCCCTGGGGCATCTCGATGGAGGCCCGGTAAATGCGTCCTTTGGCGCCCCTGGGCGGTCCCTTTTGGGTCCAGTAGAACTTGCCTTCTCGAGCTGAGACAGTGATACCTACGCACCACAAAGTAGGGTCATCTATCCCCTTCCTCCAGTCGCCAGCGCGGACGAGAGTCTGGAGATTGGATCCATCAACGCCGCAACGGAAGACTCGCATGCCCTCTCGATCAGAGAAATAGAGCACCTCGTTCTCCTGGTCGACAGACAACTGCTTGGGTGTGTGAACGGCGCCCGGGGGGATGATGACCCGTGCGCCAGTGCCGTCCAGGTTGCACGACATGATGGAACCATCGTTTTGACCGGGAGTGCCCATGTTGGTCCAGAATATCTTGCCAGCCTTTTGGGAGAGAGCAATTCCATCTGGCATCGGCAGATGATGGGCGATTACCTTGAGCGGAGATCTTCCATCCGCACTTCCGACGAGGATGCGGCCCTTTCTGTAGAAGCCGACGTCATCCGGATCATTGTTCCATCCAATATCCAAAAAGTACAAGGACGGAACATGCAGATTGTCGTCACTGGCTTGTTCCTGGTTAGCCGTCTTGACGGTGTGATTAGGAGGGTAAAGACCGCCCTTGCTGCTCTTGGCTCCGAGTCTGCCCTCGTCAATGTACTTTTGTAGAAAGGACAAGACACCTCTGTCCTGCAGGCCACGCTCTTGGATGTAGTGCTTCTCGATGAGTGAAACGGTATCTAGACCGACCGAGTCCATCAGAGTGCAGGGTGGACTACCGTTCTCGATAAACATCTCGGTCCACACAGCGTCGAGTTCTTGGGGAGAAGCCACGCCTTCAGCCAGCACCATGAGACACTCGCGCTTGATGGCTGCCCAAACGCGGTTCAGGATGAAACCAGTCGACTCCTTGTGTGCAATCACCGGCATCATGCCTGACGCTCTGAAGTGTTTCAAGAGGAAGGGAAATATCTCGGGTCGCGTAGAGCCACTCGTCATGAGCTCGACGATACGAATGGTCGGCGGGACCATGTAGTGGGTGTTTAGCATTCGTTGAGCCGTCTCTGGCTTGACCATGGCCGTCATCTCGCGGGACTTGTAGGAGGACGAGTTTGAGGCTAGGATGGCATCCGGCTGGGTGATGTTTTCGAGTTCGGCAAACAGATCGATTTTCATATCCAACCTCTCGGGTACGCATTCGATAACCAGCCAAGAATCCTCCACGGCGGGTTCCATATTCTGGAAGCCATGAACGCTGATGGTGTTCGGATCAACGATGGGCTTGTATCTCCATAGCTCGCTGGTGATGTACTGCAACGCCGCGTTCGTCTGTCGAGGGTCTGGGTCCCTGATGTGGACTTGGTAGCCGGCCGATGCCCAGCAGGCGCCGATTCGACGACCCAGGACGCCGGCCCCGAGAATTCCAACAGATCTTCCGGCGGCGGATGGTAACTTCCACGGCGTCATGATGATGGATGTCCACTGCCTAGGATCAAATTTCCACAGATGTTGAGAGACGGGGAACCGACATGTTATTCAACAGGGAGGACAAGGTGACCTAGGCATAGAGGTATGTTCCCAAGTACCTGTAGCTGCCCCCCATAGGTAGCTGCAGTCTACACTCTCCCATCGCAGCTGCCCTGTTTCTGGATGTGCAATTTGAAAGCATCCGTCCCAATGCATCATGATACGTCGGCATGACGCGAGGCCACCAGGTCAAACCAAACCATAATTCATCTCACATCGACCCTCGCCGGGTCTTGATTCAACTCGGGTTCCTGACTTGTCCGGTCTCTCTATTGGGTCAGTAGCATACCGGTAGGCGCGTCTTGTGGTTTGTTTGACTCCAGGAAAAAGTGTGGAAGAAGAGGTCGAATGGAAGACTCCAGCTTGGTGATGAATCCATAGCCTCACTTCCATAACAGTGTACATCGGGAAGTTGGGGAACTGGACTAGAACTACCTAGTTGCCGCTTGGATGAAACCTGGAAGGATGAGGTCGCAGTTCCCCTTGCGGTTCGGTGGTCCCTGTGAGCTACCAAGTGGGTCCCTCTCCACTTTCCCCGGCGTGCTTCTGCCGTGTCGTCCAGGGGCCCGGGGTTGCTATCGGACGGGGCTGGCTAGGCTGAGGTTCAGCTGAAAAGGACGCCGTCAAATGCCAATTGACAGACCCGACGCCATTGTGACCGTGACGTTTACAAACCACCCCCTTTGGCGGACGGTGTCGGTCGGGTAGTTAGTGGCTTGTAGGTATCTAGGTAATTGCCTACTGATTGTCACTCTTTTACTCTCTGGCTGTCAGGCGTTTCCAAGCCTTCCATTAGGGCCGGAGCGAACCTGGCTGGAACAACCTACTCTAACTGCCCAGCGGGATCCGCCGCCCGTGCCAACCTCGGCTCCCCCGTCGGGTCGGTTCTTGGCTCCTCCTGAGATCAACACTAGACTCCATCGGCCTCCCGACAACTGGTATCTCCACGCATCACCGCACCCATGGTGATCATCGACTAGTGTAACTGCCGACTTCGTCTGAATTATCCCCTGGCCCTTTCTTCTTTCTCTGTTTCTTTTAGTTTGTTCTTGTTCAACCAACGACATGATACGACCTCCGTCCCGATAAACGTTTGATACCCCCCCCTTATTGATTGCGTTTCTCCAGCTTTAATACACCCACGCCAGCCAGCCTCGACCCTCTCGAATCCGAATCCCTCCTTATCCGATCCGATGAGCGAACTCAAGTCCCCCCCTCCAGGGCCTCCGCCTTCCGCTCCTGCTCCTGCTCCTGCTCCCTCTCCGGCTCCAGCTGTCGCCGCCGCGCCGACTGTCCCTCCTCCTACCTTGCCGGCAAACAACACCTTTGCCCTCGCCCAGCAGCGACTAATCGCCCGCCGACAGGCCCGTGAGACAGAGAACGCCGCGCGCCTCGCCGCCCAGCGATCAGAATCCCAACTACGATCTCGCATCGCAGCCTCCCAATCCCCTTTAATCCGCCGCCTCGGCTCATCGACTCTCTCTTTCTGGGATGCCATCTCCTCGCGCGAGGGCACACGGCCCGCCTTCCGCGTCGGCCAAGTCGACGCCGAACTTCTCGACGCCGAGCTCGTCGATCTCCTCCGCACCCAGGTCGGCGACGCCCTGAAATACATTGGCGGCGGCGTCTCGTCGACCCTCAAAGACGAATGGGATGCCGAGATCCTGCTCATCCTGCGCGCCATCCTCTTCAAGCTGACCATCTGGGACCACGACGCCACGTACGGCGCTGCGCTCCAGAACCTGCGCTACACCGACGCCCGCAAGTCCGGCCCCGTGCTCCAGCCGCCGTCGAAGCTCCAAAAGAGCCTGTACGGCTTCGTCACCGTGGGTGGCAAGTACCTTTGGACTAAATGGGAGACGTACCTTCTCGACCACGACGAAGCCTCTTCTTACTCCATCGAGGGCCCCAACCCCAACATCCAGCGCCTCAGCCGCCTCACCGAATCGATCGGCACCTTTCATGCCTTCGCCTCTTTCGCCTCCTTCCTCGTCTTCCTTCTGCACGGCCGCTACCGAACCATCCTCGACCGGCTCCTGCGCATGCGTCTGGCGCCGCCCACCTCGCAAGTCTCGCGCGAGGTGTCATTCGAGTACCTCAACCGCCAACTCGTCTGGCACGCCTTTACCGAGTTCCTTTTGTTCGTCCTCCCCTTGGTGGGAATCAACCGCTGGCGCCGCTGGCTGGCACGCACCTGGCGCCGCACAAGATCGATGCTCACCACCTCTTCCACCAACGATCCCACCCAGAACAAGGGCGGCGAATTCGCCTTTTTACCGGAACGCACCTGCGCCATCTGCTACCAGGACCAAAACAGCGCCAAGTCCGAAGCCGAGCTCATGGCCGCCGCCTCTTCGTCTTCAGGCGTTGTCGGCTCCGCCCAGACCGACATCACGAACCCTTACGAGGCTATGCCCTGCGGCTGCGTGTACTGCTTCGTGTGCGTGGCGACGCGCATCGAGCGCGAGGAAGGCGAAGGGTGGACGTGCTTGCGGTGCGGCGAGCTGGTTAAAGAATGCAAGCCTTGGAATGGCGATGTTTTGAGTCCTGCTGAAGCTCATGCAGCGGCGGCAAATCAAGGCGGGAGGAACGTGGCGTTTGCGGCTGGCGTGAAAGAACGACCTAACCTGAATCGATTGTCGACGGAGAGCAGTGGGAGGAGGAGTAGCAGTAATCGGGTCTCGTTTGATGATGAGGTCAGGGAGAGGAGAAGGGTGTCGTTCGAGGATGAGATTAGACCGGGCGAGGATGCGGCTAGTGATGATGGGCCGGTTCGGGTACCGGAGAGGAGGGAGGGCCAAAAGCAAAGCCAGACGGCGAGGGCAGTTGGGACGGGTGTAACTGAGGGTGAGACGAGCGGTACGAAGGCGGATGAAGAGGAGGAGGGTGAAGACGAAGAAGAAGAAGGAGAGGATGAAGAAAACCAGGGGGAGGAGGAGGAGGAGGAGGAATCACAATCAAGCGGGGACCTGCAAACAAGTTCCGACGCCGAGGACGAAGAAGATAACGGAGAAGAGGAGGAAGAAGAAGAAGAAGAAGGCTCAGAATCAGGATCAGATAGTTCCGATTCCGAAGACTACGAAGCGGAAGAAGAGGAACTTGGTGAGGATCTTGCTTTCTAGTCTTATATCAGATCGAACCAGACGAGACCAGACCAGGCCGGAAAACTACGTACGAAGCAAGCATTAGATCAGGAGCAAATAAGGTATTAAGCAAGCATGCATCTTTTTTTATTCAGGGGTGGTTCGGAACTTTCTCTGTGCGTATAAGAGTACAATTGTAACAAAATGCTCGGTACATTCGACGATAAAGTATATGGACGGGGAGATCGGATAATATTACCTATACATAATGATGATACCTACCGTACTTTGTTTTTTTTTTTTTTTTCGGGAAAATATAAGGAGCTGTGATCATGCCAAAAACGATGGGACACGGCGGATGTTGTTTGTTTGAATACATAGACAGAGAGGTCTCCGCTTCTGTTGAGTTTATTCGAATGTCGAGAAATTAACTGACTGCCACTGAAATGCGAATTGTAAACACAAACTAAAGCATATCTACTACTCCTGAAAGTAGCACAACCTCACTCAACACGCTATTACACGACATAACAAATTCTTCACCGCTGATCAACCGCGTATCTGTCTTGCCCATCATAATCATCCAGTCTCTGTCCAAGTCATAAGTCATTATCATATACGAGCCATGAATCTAGCATGTCTATCCCGTCTCACTCTTTCCCTCTTTGTTTCCATCATCCATCCTGTTCAGCCCATTCAGGATTCCCCCCAAAAAAAACATCGCTTCCTCATCTGTCAAGAAGAAATGAAGAAAAAGAAAGTAAAAAAAGAAAAAGGGAAAAGGGAAATAAGCCAAAAAGAAGCAAAAAGAAAAAGATGAAAGTATAAGGCCATCAACAAGCCATATGCCGCAGCATCAGTTCTCATCACTCATCTCCTTCCATCCTTTCCCATATCCAAAAAAAAAGTGCCTCTCATATCCAACCTTCCTTACAACCAACCTCCTTCTCTCTACTTCCGCTTAAGACTGCCCAACCTCCTCTTCAGTGACTGCGCAATGGTTTTGCCCGTGGTATTACTTCTGCGCAACCCCCCACCATTGCTAGACTCTCCTCCTTCGTAGTCGTTCGAGTAGTAACCTCCTCCTCCTCCTCCGTATCCCGTACCCGTAGTCGTCGTAGCATTGCTCACGCTTCTCTGACGAACTTTGGCGACGTTGCCCTCTTTCTGCTGGTAGCCCATCAGACCCGCCGAGGAGCTAGAAGAGCCAGGAACGTCCAGGTAGTGAGGAGAACGCGGTTGCATCTCAAGCATGCTCTCGCCTTCCTTGGAGGCGTAGTAGTTGCCGTAGCTATAGCTACGGGCGCCAAGACGAGAGGGGGTGGCCTTGTGGTCTTTGAGCTGCTTCTCGATGGTGTAGGAGGGCTCGCCCTTGCCTTTGAGGTCATCGGGGTGGTATTGCTAAATGGTTTTTTCGGTTAGTTTATGAAGGGATCTTGGGAGGAGAAGAAACATACATAACCCGCCCATCTCTTGTAGGCGGAGGCGTTACCGTTAGTGGCTCCCTCACGCATCATATCCGTGCCTTCTTGGTAGTCCATGGTGCGTCCGGCGAGATCCCGCATCCCGGGAGGGATGACGGCGGTTCCTTGCAACGGGACATGCTTGATCAGCGAATCCTGGACATACTCATGGGGAGTAGCCCTGAGAGCCTCCATATTGGAGTCCTTGACTGCTTCGACGGGCGAATACTTCTTGTTGCGGTTACGGGACGCCAGGGTGGCATCGTATGGGCCGTCATGGTGGTACATGAAGCCGCGTCCGGGGCCAGTGTGATCTAAAGTGTCGATGATATCGATAGGTTGCTGACGGCGAGGGTTGCGCAGGTTGGGTGTTCGATCGGCAGCCCGGTAGTCTCGCTCGAGCATGGCGAGTGGCCGGTGAGACATGTCCCCGGGGTACCGCTCCTTCAGGGAGCTGGCACGAGGTCGACCGGTTTGATGAGCCATTGTATCTTGGTATTCTCCTTGAGCGAGTGCTTCAGGTTTCCGGGTGAGGGTTTCCACAAATCGGTGAGGGTGTTCCTTAGGATGATGCCCGGTAAGGGAGACAGTACGTTGAGCGCTCCAGCTTTTCTCGATCAAGAGCTTCTTTGACTCGTCTACACTTGGACGAGGAGACGAGGTGATGCTGAGGAAGTGTCCTGGTTCCAGTGGGTTGTGGAAGGGCTAGCCGTAGGTATATAAGGATTTCTCTCTTTCCAACTTGGTTACCGGAGAGTGTTGTGGTTAAGTTGCGAAGGAGGTGGGTTTGCTCTTCTATTAATACTATTGCTTCTGCTCGAAAATTGACGGAGTAGAAAGATTTCTTCGGAATGCCCGGCGGTAGACGCAAGTGAGTGCCTGTGACGGTGGGTACCAAAAATTGGACAAGAAGGACTGGTACACGGCGGAACTATGACGAGCAGGCCTCGTATGCAAGTTGCGAATTCTTCGCTGGCCTCGGGCTCGTAGAATGGTCCTAGAATATACTTGTTTGCCTAATCGGGTGTATAAGTGCAAGCCGTGCAGTAGAGGGATGCGGGCAAGATGCGAGTCGTAGGTGGGTAAATGAGTAGGTATCCTTTTTAAATATATATATACATATGTCCGGGAGAAAAAAAAGAACGGAGCAAAAAATAGAGAGGCATGACCATGCAGTTTATATGTGTCCCGACGCTTACACGCAGGGTCGTGTCGAGCAAGCCGGACGAAGCATCATTGCAGTTGGGAGAGGTCTTCATGTGGCTGCGCCTTGGCAGGGGATCAGCAGGAACGTGGTGGGAGTGACGCAACACCCGGGACTTTATGGCTGTCGTCACTAACAGGGGTGTTAAGTTAATACGGCGGAACCAGGCGAAACTGTTAACAAAACGGGGGGAACTGATAGCGCTTGCGATCAACACTACAACTGGAGGACAAGTCAACATCGATGCAAATCCCGCCAAAGCCGAAACCGGGAGCCATCCCGTCATCTTTGATCTGGTGGCGGTGATTCTTCCATGCTGCCATGCTAGAGTTTTTTTTAGAGCTGACGACTTTGGCTTCTTGTCGAGGGACCCAAAGTGTGACGGTTGGGCACGGCGATCTGTGGGGCGACATGGTTGTAAAGGGCAAAGGACGAGAAAGCTTACGCAGTGCTTGTCGTACACCTGGTCGTCGTAGTCGTTGTACGTTCCGTCATCCCTCCCGCTTTTTAGTTCCAGTCTCGGGTGTCTCGGAGTGGACAATTGTGCGGCCACCATGGCCTCCGGACGGCTGTGTGTTACAGCTGGTTCAGACATTAGGGCCCTTGATGCAGGGGATCGACAGTAGGTTGTAGTAGGTAGGTTGAAGTTAAGGTTGAGGCCGGGTTGAGGTAGCACAACGGACATCATGACGGGAGCTGTTAGTACTTGTTGGACCTAGATTGAAAAAGAAAACGAAACAAACCAAAATACAAGGAGATCGACGTTTACCAAGGACGGGCAGTTCGAAAGGTATCGAAGCGGTGCAATATTTCCTGTAATTGCCATCCTCTTTCCCCTCCTACTAGCCTCCTCAAGAACAGATGTGTCCAGCAGATCGGCGGCTTCATTTCAGTTGGGCAGCATGACCGCCAGCCGAGCATTAGTCGCATTTAGCCAACCTGGAGAGGGATGCAATCTAGACCAAAGGTCCAGGCCGGGCCAGCGACGGCATGTTTGTTAGGCTGGTCGGTCGTGGTTGCGGGGTGCGGGTGGTGATATTGGCAAGATTCTGCCCACACATGGAAAGTAGTGGAAGGCACTGCAGGTCATTCGGGGCCTACGGTAGGTACATACGATGGCTGGATTAGAAAGAGGACTTGAATCTACCTCTACACAGCAATTCTAGAAATAAGATGTCACCGTCTGTATCAAAGAGACAGCAGCCTAATCGATGTACGGATAGAAGGCCGGATCGGAGAGAGGGAAGAAAGTGCGGAAGTGCAGGTAGAAGCCGCGGTTACCGCCATGTCTTGCCAAGGGCTCGATCTTGCCGTCAAGTCGACTTCACGCTTCAAAATTCCCGTCGCGACACAGAAATGAATGAACCCAGTGAGCCAGGCACCGCGGCACCTCAACCTCAAAAATCTTTCGAGCAAACCTTGACGACCTGGCAAAACCATATCCAAGCTCAGCAACTTCAAACCGAGAGTTTCATTCTTTTGTTACCGGAACATCTTGGTTTTCTTTTTGGCCATTCATCCGGAGGTTGATTTGACCATTCTATCTTTAGGGCAATTCTTTTTTGCATGGTACACCACCCACTTGGCCACACAAATTTAGAGCCAGACCTCAGCTCCCCTCTACTTACCCAGTCAGCCAGCTATCTTCTCAGCAACCTCGGTCACCGAGCAGCCCGTTACGTGCCAGTCATGAAACGGCCTCTGGTAGATTATGAGTCCGGGTCCGGATCCGAGTCCGAGTGTGGAAGCTCTTCGGACAGACCAGAATCAAGTTCAACTGATATTCCTCCCCAGCTCAAGAGGCGCCGGAACGGTGACATCGGCACTCGGGCCCCACCGTCGGCTCCGGCTCTGGCTCCGGCTCCCACTCCGATTGCCCCACTTGACCGAAGCTCTGGCACCCACACCATACCGCCAAAACCGGCACCCAAGTCAAAATCATCTCTCCCACCCATCTCAGATCGATTCAATGATTTATACGCCTCTAATACTCGAGCTGCTGTCTCTGACGATCCTTCCCTGCACCAAGGACGTCAGCGCCAGGTCCCTCATATTCCCGGCAACTGGCCGAGCCACGTGTATATCGATTGGGATCCCAGTTCGGCGGATCGTGAGCTCCTCTCGTCGCTTGTTGACAAGCTTCAGGCCGAGGTAGCTGCTGCTGCTCAACGTTACCCCGACCTCGAGGGAGTAAAAATCAGCACGGCCTTGCGAGATCCAGATTTACCCGTGGACAAGCCATTGCACATCAGCCTGTCGGCCCCAATCACACTGACCTCAAAGAACAAAGACGCTTTTCTTGACGATGTAACCAGAGCGTTGAGGTCAAGTGGTGTAAGCCCTTTCGTGGTGGACTTTTCCGGAGGAGTCGATTGGTATCGATCCGAGGAAAGCACCCGATCGTTCTTAGTCCTGCGGGTGCGTGAGGTTCAGAACACCGGCACCACTGCAGATTCGAGCCCCAACCCACGACTGACCACCCTAATTCAACGATGCAACAAGACCGTGAAAGAGTACGGTCAACCGCCAATTTATGATTCGCAAGACATGGGCTACCGCTTTCATGTCACGATAGCCTGGACTCACGCTCGTCCAAGTGAATCGTTAAAGCAGCTGACGGATTCAATCTTTGACGACTGCAAAACCATGTATAGTGAAAACATGTCAATCAGGGAAAAGCTTCGTACTGGCTCAAGTTTTCGCGTTGAAACGGTCAAGGTCAAGATTGGAAACCACGTTACCAGGTTTGAGCTACCTGATAAGGGTCTCGCCTTACCAGTCAAGACTACATAGGAACGCGGGCCTTGCCAGTTCTCACACGTCAAGCCATACTCGTCTGGCCTAGAAACGCCCTCAGACTGTTAGAGCCAAGGGGAAGAAGGCGATCCAAGCCCTACCGAACATGGGTGCAACCCCGGAAAGTATTTCGATACGGAGGGGAGAGATTGCCTGCATTGCCTCGAGTCCCACGCGGAGATTTCAAAGGGCCTCGACAACGATGCAGAACGGTTTTCGTGCCTCGAATGCGATCGGGTCTTCTCGTCTCGACAATTTCTTGATATACACCTGGATTCATATGTTTGTCGCGCAAGGGAGAGAGCAGTTAAAAGATATCCAAGATCATTTCGAAAAAGAAAAAAAAGAAAAAAGAAAAAAAACGACATGGAGATGCCGTTTGTGTAGGAAATACTATACTTCAAGCCTTCCATCAGGCGAGAGCCTCTAGGTCATTTTCCAACGCATCTGAAAACAATTGGTTGCAAGATCCAGTCGAAGTCGTTCCGTCAGCAATTGTATGCCGGACGGTGAATTTGAATGTCTTGACCCTCCAGCGTCTTTAGCAAGATAGGCAGGAAAAGGTAGGACATTACAAAAATCAAATTTACAACATCCAGGGTGGCAACACGTCTCGCCCGTTTATTTTGATGGGCATAAAATGCACAGATTCGGACAGTACCTATACTTGCAGATTATGCCTGACATTCAGGAAACCTAAAGATCGGCATCCGCCCCAGTCTTTGCGGTATCCCTACTTGGGCGTCGGACATATGGTATATATGTATATGTATATATACGTAGCTGGCAGATTTAGGCCGGTCGCTGTGCATTACCATAGCATGTGTGTAAGTTGTAAGTACCGGCATCTGCGTGCGTACCGCGGAGGGCATATTTCTGGCAGGACTTTCGGCTATCTGCCCGGCGCCCTAAAAAAAAAAAGAAAATAGATGAAGAAAAAAAAAGAAGTCAGTGTTTGGCCAGTTTCGTGGTTTTCGACGGTATGTTGGCTTATCGCGCCGCGTGTTATGCCCTGCCCGGTGCTCAAAGAGGGCGAAGCATATTCTCTTCAGTTTCTTTCGTTTTCTCTTTCTGTCTCCCTCTTCTCTCTCTCCCCCCCCCCCCCTTTTTTTTTCCCTTTCCCTTTTTTTTTTTTTTTTTTTTTTTTTTTTTTTTTTTTTGGGGAGGGCCTACAGGCCGGCCGGGTCAAAAAATTTGGGCCAACTTTTAAAAAAGGGCCCCCTATTTCGGGGGGAAAAAAACCCCCGGGAGAGGGGGTGAAGCCTGGAAACAAAATCCACAACCCCTGGCAACGAAGGTGGTTTTTGGGCAAGGGAAAATCCAAACGGGGGGCATAGGGCCCCCAGGATCCAAACCGGGGGGGAAAACTGGGGGAGGGGGGGGAAAAACGCCAAGGGGAAAGGAAAAAAAGAAAAAAGGGAAAAAAAAAAAAACCCCGGAAAAAAAAAGGCCCCCCCAGGGGGGCCAACCTGGAAAAGGCCTACCAAAAGGGCCCCCCAAAAGGGGTTTTTTGGTATTTTCCTAAAAAGGGGGGGGGAA